GTTCAATTTGTACATCTGTGTTTCACTCATGTAGTTCTGACCGAATATACACTTCAACTTTGCTCTCAACATATACACATCTCAAATTCAACTGTGATGTTTATATGAACCAGTGATTTCTTTGTATTGATGACTGTTTTGATTTTGAATTCCAAATACAGTACATTCTTTCGTGCTCATCCTAATACTTCTTGAATAAATTGCGTTATTGCTGGAATCACTAGTTTATACTATAATTCAAATGCTCTCAAACATCACATCAACAAACACGAAAACACACAGACACCTATGTAAATCTGTACTGCTTTCAACCAGCTAGCTCAACATCCATTCACATTCCACTTCGTATTCTCAACTACCACCAACCAACCACCCATCCACCCACTCAATACCAACACGTTCGTGTTCATACTTATGTCACATATTCACATGCGATCATTCCATCTCTATCCATACTGCTATCTTCAATGCTACTATGTCAAACGACCGATTCAACTCATTGTGAATTGTCGATCCGATTACATCACTACACAGATACCACGGTTTCCGAGGTAGCCTACATTCTCATCAGCCTCAACCAATACACTCGTCCACTCAGGTCAATCAACATGCATACACGCATTCGTGTTTCCATTCATCCGGATCCTCACTTCCAAACACACGTACACAAACAAACAACCACAAACAACAACAACAACAACCTCACCAACACCATCGTCGTCGTCATCAATTACTCAATTACATACACAGCTCTCATTTATACACCGATCTCGAAATCAGTGGAACAAACAACCGGACACTGACTCACATTATTCTGAAATGTAGTATCGTTCGGCATGTTAAGCCCATATACTGTATTCTTGCGTCCGACCAAGCCAATTTGACTGTCCATTATGAATCATCTTTCCATCTTGTCAATTATTCACTTATTAACCTTGACCATTTTTGTATGAGCGTAGTTATTGGTACCCTTATTATGCTTTTTATCACATGTCTGTCATTTGTTTTTGACTGACTATAAATATTGATTAACGCTTGGTAAAAGTATGTTGGCTTCACCGCCATCTCAAATGCATGTCATTTTCATTTCGCTCGCTGATATTTACTCATGTGCTCATAACTTTCTGCTCTGCATCATTCGTTAATAAAAGTGTAGCTGACGCTTCTCTTTGCCTTCTGATATCATGCACCGTCAAGGCTTGTATTATAACGGTTATCAGTTTGAACGATTAACGAAGCATGGCACTACAGAACCACCTAACTACACAATGAAATTGAACGCCAAATTACTCGACTCTTACAAACATCTCTCATTCATCATTAGATTCGATTAGACAACCACACATTTTTACAACATTAGTCATGTTGTTATAAGCTAAGATAGATAGTGGGTAGCAGTGGAATTCAGGATGCGCGTCTCGTCCTATTTGGGATTCGTCAGCTAGCCACTATCCATCTTTGCTTATAAATCTTGTGACTTGAGCCAATATCGAGACAGTCCGCACAAGATGCATATATGCCAACAAGAGACTGATCAATTGCAGTGCAATATAACAATGGGAGGATACAAGTAAACAACACCAAATGAAGTAATCATGTTAATTATTACAAGCATACATTTCGATCCGTCTTTATTGAAGCGTGAGATTTTCAGAACAAAAAAATGAAAGTGTGTTAGAAAACAGCCATGTGAGTGTTATATATGTGTGAGGCAGCAAACAAGAGGGCATGACTCACGATGCAGGCATTGCTGTTGCTAATCTTGACATATCACGAGGTATCATCTTATCCATTGAGGTGAGAGGCAGTGTTGACCCTACCAATCCAGCTGGCCTACAAACGGAAATCCAAATAATCAGTCTCACATAAATACACTGATTCCACACCAACAAACACAAAATGTATCTTATCACTCCAACATTGAATGGATGCGAGTTAATAGTCACTGTGACACATTGTCTTAATATGGGATCAGTTATGTGTGCATGTGTGAGTGTGCACGAGTATGTATGTATGTATGTATGTATGTATGTATGTATGTATGTGTGTGTGTGATTGTGTTTGTGCCAATTCGACTTGGTGCATTGGTAGAGAGATTTTCAGACTGAACGTATTATTTTTTGGTTAGGAGGCGACACAAGCATTATTGTGTGACATTTATTAATTGATAAATGTAGGATAAGTGAATGAGACGTGTGTGATGCATGTGATTATAGGTTAGCTGTGATTGTGGATCTGTGTAAACACTAATCTGTTTGTGAGGTTGACAATTCTAGTGAATAGTGTGAATGAGACTGTGGATTATTGTTGGTGTTGTGTAGTGGCGGTAATCATTAGTCCTGGTTATTCAGTGCAACATTCTCCCTCACATCCGACGTTGCACATCACAAAGCACATCATTCGAATGTTCAATTTGTACATCTGTGTTTCACTCATGTAGTTCTGACCGAATATACACTTCAACTTTGCTCTCAACATATACACATCTCAAATTCAACTGTGATGTTTATATGAACCAGTGATTTCTTTGTATTGATGACTGTTTTGATTTTGAATTCCAAATACAGTACATTCTTTCGTGCTCATCTAATACTTCTTGAATAAATTGCGTTATTGCTGGAATCACTAGTTTATACTATAATTCAAATGCTCTCAAACATCACATCAACAAACACGAAAACACACAGACACCTATGTAAATCTGTACTGCTTTCAACCAGCTAGCTCAACATCCATTCACATTCCACTTCGTATTCTCAACTACCACCAACCAACCACCCATCCACCCACTCAATACCAACACGTTCGTGTTCATACTTATGTCACATATTCACATGCGATCATTCCATCTCTATCCATACTGCTATCTTCAATGCTACTATGTCAAACGACCGATTCAACTCATTGTGAATTGTCGATCCGATTACATCACTACACAGATACCACGGTTTCCGAGGTAGCCTACATTCTCATCAGCCTCAACCAATACACTCGTCCACTCAGGTCAATCAACATGCATACACGCATTCGTGTTTCCATTCATCCGGATCCTCACTTCCAAACACACGTACACAAACAAACAACCACAAACAACAACAACAACAACCTCACCAACACCATCGTCGTCGTCATCAATTACTCAATTACATACACAGCTCTCATTTATACACCGATCTCGAAATCAGTGGAACAAACAACCGGACACTGACTCACATTATTCTGAAATGTAGTATCGTTCGGCATGTTAAGCCCATATACTGTATTCTTGCATCCGACCAAGCCAATTTGACTGTCCATTATGAATCATCTTTCCATCTTGTCAATTATTCACTTATTAACCTTGACCATTTTTGTATGAGCGTAGTTATTGGTACCCTTATTATGCTTTTTATCACATGTCTGTCATTTGTTTTTGTCTGACTATAAATATTGATTAACGCTTGGTAAAAGTATGTTGGCTTCACCGCCATCTCAAATGCATGTCATTTTCATTTCGCTCGCTGATATTTACTCATGTGCTCATAACTTTCTGCTCTGCATCATTCGTTAATAAAAGTGTAGCTGACGCTTCTCTTTGCCTTCTGATATCATGCACCGTCAAGGCTTGTATTATAACGGTTATCAGTTTGAACGATTAACGAAGCATGGCACTACAGAACCACCTAACTACACAATGAAATTGAACGCCAAATTACTCGACTCTTATAAACATCTCTCATTCATCATTGGATTCGATTAGACAACCACACATTTTTACAACATTAGTCATGTTGTTATAAGCTAAGATAGATAGTGGGTAGCAGTGGAATTCAGGATGCGCGTCTCGTCCTATTTGGGATTCGTCAGCTAGCCACTATCCATCTTTGCTTATAAATCTTGTGACTTGAGCCAATATCGAGACAGTCCGCACAGGATGCATATATGCCAACAAGAGACTGATCAATTGCAGTGCAATATAACAATGGGAGGATACAAGTAAACAACACCAAATGAAGTAATCATGTTAATTATTACAAGCATACATTTCGATCCGTCTTTATTGAAGCGTGAGATTTTCAGAACAAAAAAATGAAAGTGTGTTAGAAAACAGCCATGTGAGTGTTATATATGTATGAGGCAGCAAACAAGAGGGCATGACTCACGATGCAGGCATTGCTGTTGCTAATCTTGACATATCACGAGGTATCATCTTATCCATTGAGGTGAGAGGCAGTGTTGACCCTACCAATCCAGCTGGCCTACAAACGGAAATCCAAATAATCAGTCTCACATAAATACACTGATTCCACACCAACAAACACAAAATGTATCTTATCACTCCAACATTGAATGGATGCGAGTTAATAGTCACTGTGACACATTGTCTTAATATGGAATCAGTTGTGCGGTCGTTGCTTTTTGTGTGTTCGTGTTTTATCCACTGGTGAATTATGAATGGTAACTCTAAGGACTATTTATCGACCAGTGTATTATGCCTATTTCCTATTATACAATTGTTACGTAATTAAACTATTCATATTTGTGTTTCTCTTATCGTGAGATTTATTTTGATCTTTGATTTATTATCATACGATTCTTGAGTTATAATCAGTTTACTGATTACTTTGGTTAGTATAAAAAACCCATTATGTTTGTAAATAATGATTCATATTGTCGAGGCTGTTATTTGTGTTCTGGACTCAACTGGCTGGGCTAGGCAGTTAGGAAGGTCCGAATAGCAATCAAGACTGCTCGTACGTATTTTCTGTATCATTGCACGTTTCATATACAATAACGATTGTTATACGAGTCATAACAGTTCGTTTCTGCATGTATTATTTAATAATTATATATTATTGTTTATATGTGTTTATATTGTGCGCATGGTTTTTTTGTGTATTGTGTGTTGTGACTTTTTTCGCCCGGTTTGTTTTTGAATGAATATTTATCATAATTGGCTTTTAATTAGAATGTATTTTGTCTAGATTAGGGAATAATCTAACCACTAAAACTCATTTGACTTACGTTCCTACTATTTGTGGAAGACCGCCAATCATGTTACTTCCCATTGGAGCAAGTGGTATCGGTAAAGCTGTTGGTGGAATTGGCCTTTTGAAAAATATAAATTGTTCAATTTTTAATATAATAAATTCATCGATTTACTATCTTTTTTAACCAATCACTAAATTATACTCATTAAGTATTATCAACCGTATGAGTTGAATTGATCTAAAGTAGTTTATTGGATATTATGTACTAGCAGCAACAGCGTTTTATAGGGGAGAAAATTAGGAAAATACATTGAAAGTGGATAGGACATACATTAAGGAAATCACCAAACTGCATTACGAGGCAAGCTTTAATTTGGAATGCAGAAGGTAAATGGAAAAGAGGAAAACCAAAGAACACAGTCCGTCGGGAATTAGAAACAGACATGAAAAGGATGTATGTTAATGGAAAGAACTGGAAAGGATTGCTCAGGACAGGGTTGGATGGCAAATATTGGTGTGCGGCCTATGCTCCTCAAGAGAGGTAACAGGCGTAAGTAAGTAAGTAATTCAGTTTATATAAAAGGAATTTTCGAGGTGATCAAGTTTTAACTCGTTTAATGCGATTATACTTGTTGTTGGAACAGTGTACAATATTACAACAATATTTTCTCGGTGAATCTGTGTTAATCCACGGATGAATCTATAGTACAAACATGGATCATTCTTTTAAACATGGATCATCGTCAATCATTATGTTGAAGAAAATTCACCAGAAAAAGAAGGTGAAACAAATAAATATTGGCGTTTCCATAGTAACGAAATATTTTGAAAAAGAAAGTGTGACTTACGATCCAACTGCTTGTGGAAGACCACCAATCATGTTACTCCCCACTGAAGCAAGCGGCATTGGTAAACCCGTCAGTGGTACTGGCCTGTTGAAATATATAAATTGTACAGTTCGTCAATATAATATATTTATTGATTGACGATTTCTAATCAGAGGGGGTTTTGTGGAGAATTTAGTATTTTCATAGTTGAAATCATGAGTCAATTGAAGCTAGACCACCATGGAAAACCTGGAAGCACTGGACGGCCGCTTCGTCCTATTATGGGACTCCCCAGCAGTGCGCATCCACGATCCCGCACTCGCGAGACTCGAACCCAGGACCTACCGGTCTCGAGCCAGAGCCCTTAACTGATAGACCACTGAGCTAGTCGGCATCCAATGGTGTTAATGTTCTGGGTTCGAGTTTCGCGAGTGAGGGATCGTGGATACGCACTGCTGAGGAGTCCCATAATAGGGCGACTTGGCCGTCCAATGCTTCCAAGTTTTCCATGGTGGTCTAGCTTCAGTTGACTCATGATTTCAACTATGAAAAAAAGATTTTTAATCAATCACTAAATTATACTCACTAAGTATTACCAACCATACGAGTCTAATTTTAATGAGATGGGATTCATCAACTGATCTAAGGTAGTTTATTGGATACTATGTACCCCGTGATTGAAAATGTTAGCCTATAATGGACGTCTTAACAATCAAACTATTGATTTATTAATATTCAGTTTAGATATATCATCCACATTTAGGTGATGCGGATTTTGAATTGATTGTTTAAATTTGTAGTCTTCATTTGTTACGGACTAATCAATATTGTGCTACTATTAAACACTAAGGAGCTATTTGATCATGTATGAAGCCACTAATTGTCAAGTACCTTCTATGATTCCATGAATCTTCAGGTTTCGCCTAGAACTCTAAACCATTGAAATCACTGGTTCATTATTGAATGGTGCAGTTCCGTCTCTAATCATTTTGAGATATAGATTGACAATCATCTAACTCCAATTCTGACAACTGTTTAATTCCCGACATGTCTGAGCTCCACCAGCCACTATGTCTCGTTAGAGCTTCAAGAAAATATTGAAATAAGTTGCTAGTGAGTAGACTGCTACAATTAATTTGTTGATTACATTCGTTACAGATTGAGGATGGAGTGTTCTGGTCAAGATTTCAACTGGAGTCCAGAGTGCTCCTTGTGAAACAGTGAAAGACGAGACAACTGTTTGATACTTCTTGACTTGCAATACCTACCTATCTGAGATTAATCTTCATTACACTGGCCAGTTTATTACAACAGTTTAATCATAAACCTATAAGTGGACTAACATCATTCATGATTTGTATGTTAACCATAACAACAAATAAGTGATAAAGAGAACTGTAATTTATGAATGACTAATGATTTAGTAGCGACCAATGTCTTCTTCATTTAGTCTTTCACTGAAGAAAGAATTCTGTAACAGAAGTTCTAATCTGAGTAATGATCTAATTAACTCAACATCACATCTACTGTAATGAGATGTGATGGCATTGAAGGCAGTTATGGCAGTCTTTCGGTAGTCCGGGTGTCACTTCCAATCCGAATGGCTTAGTGGTAAAGCCTCATTTTGTGAAAGTAGGTAACATAAATTTGAATCCGTCTAGGTACATCAGCTCTCTTATGATTACAAATACTTCTTGTTACTAAAAAGCACAAAACGTTGTGCAGGGTTTCCTGTTAACAATTATCAACCGAAGTCTAATTATAATATAAGTGTTTACTTCAATAATTAATTCTGATATAATCCTATCTTTTTTTGATTAACAACCATTACACATGATAATGCTTTTGTAATTATGAACATTAGTATTGTTCACTTGAATCTTCCCATTGATGTTTAGGACTGTGATTGATTAGTCTGTTATTAGCATATGTGAGTATTGATTCAATAATGCCTTAATTCACAAGCTAAGTGGAAACCAACGATACTGGGTTCAAGTCCCCAAGTGAACATAAACTCTGAGATGCAGGTACATTCACCTGATGAGTTACAAATAGGACCAAGTGACATGTGTTCTGGATTCGAATGCTAGCCACTATCCATCTGTGCTGAAAATGATAAGAAGTACTTATTAGAGCTAAATGAAAGTGATCAACATGTTGGAAGAATAAGGATTATGATTTACAGTTGATGGTTAAGGTTGGAAACTAGATAAGGGGTTATCATCACTAACTGACATCAGTTAATGTGCCAAAATGCTATTTAAATAAATAAGGGAATGGAGTTTGCGCCGAAATCCGAGACCCGTTATCCTAAATCTGATTGGTTCGTCCATGAATTATCGTCTCACCGAAACGTCTAAAACTTCAAAAAAAAACAACAACAACAAAACAATGAATTATGACTTACGATGCTGGAATTTGTTGAATACCGTCAATGATATTATTTGGCATTCCACCTCTAATCGCAGTCAACGGGAGTGTTGATCCTGTAAGAGGCAATGCACTGGAAAGAAAAACGCAGGACATCAAGAGGATAAGAATTCCAAAAAGGAGGTATATTTTTGTAGATTACAGAGTGTAAGGAGATGAGGAGAAGCTAATCAAATAGAATTATTTAATGTTGTTATGATCAACTCTTAATTATTATTCTACTCAAAATTCTAAGCTTGTCCTTAAGTTCTGTTCAACAAATGTCCCATTACTGTGCTGATTAATATATATCATTTAGAGTAAATTATGATTTGGTATTCAGTTTATATCGGAGAACACTAACCCTATCACACTTGATGGCGGTTCTCTGGAAGAAGTTGAAACATTCACGTAGCTGGGAAGCAGCATTGATGAAGAAAGAGTATCAGATGCAGATGTAAAAGAGAGAATTGGCAAAGCAAGAGCAGCATTTCTACAACTGAAGAACATATGGAAATCAAAACAACTGTCAATTAACTTCAAAGTGAGAATCTTCAATACGAACGTCAAAATAGTCCAACTGTACGGAGCTGAAAGATGGAGAACTACTAGGTCAATTGTGAAGAAGGCACAAGTATTTATAAACAGATGTCTTCGCAAAATATTCAACATTCACTGACCGGATGCCATCAGCAGCAGTTTTTTGTGGGAGGGGACAAACCAGGTTTTAGATGAACTATAAATTAGGAAAAGTCCTTGGAAGTGGATAGGACATACATTAAGGAAATCACCAAACTACATCACTAGGCAACGGTGAAGGGAAGCGGAAAAGAAGAAGACCAAAGAACACAATATGCCTGGAAGTAGAGGCAGATATGAAAAGGATGAATGTTAACTGGAAAGAACTGGATTGGATTTACTAGGACACTTGGATGAACAATGCCGGTGGTTGGTCTATGCTCCTTCACGAGGGGTAACAGGCGTAAGTAAGTAAGTAATTCAGTTTATATAAGATGAATTTCGAGGTGATCAAGTTTTAACTCGTTTAATGCGATTATATTTGTTGCTGGAACAGTATACAATATTTTCTCGGTGAATCTGTGTTAATCCACGGATGAATCTATAGTACAAACATGGATCATTCTTTTAAACATGGATCGTCGTCAATAATTATGTTGAAGAAAATTCACTAGGAAAGGAAGGTGAAACGAAGAAATATTTGTGTTTACATAGTAACGAAACGTTGTGACAAAAGATGTTTGACTTACGATCCAACTGCTTGTGGAAGACCGCCAATCATGTTATTCCCCACTGGAGTGAGTGGCATTGGTAAACCTGTCAGTGGTACTGGCCTGTTGAAAAACAAAAATCGTAAATTCATGAAAATGTAAATTCAGGAATCATGTTCTGATTGTTGAATAGTTTCTAAAGGAAGTTCCCGAATTTCTAGTAAGAATACATGATCAGTGGAGTTTGACTACGTCAGGTATGAGGTGGTTACCCACCAAAAACAAGAAAAGATTGTTGTGTGACATCATGAATTGGTTGAAATTAGACATTAAAATCGTTGGATTCTGTCTCGATGGTCTCTAAGTTTAGCGTTAATGCGCAAGATCTAGGATTCTGGATCCAACTCCTACGTGCCATGTCGTGGATGCGCAATGCCGATGAAAATGCTACTCACTGCTCACACATTTCCAAGGTGATTCAGCCTGGATCATCAGATATTGACAATTAGATGAAATTAATTTTGACGAGATTGTATTCTCATTGTTTTCGGCCATCCCATGGTGTTTGAAATGAAAGATACTGGGTTCGAGTCACAGAGTGAACATCAACTCTGAGATGCAGATACATCCAGCTGACCAGTCGTAAATAGAATGAAACGCTCGTCAAACTGGATTCCACTGCTAGCCACTATCCATCTTTGCTTACCATGCTTGTGAATTAAGGCTATATCGAAGCAATACGCACAGTATGTACATATGCCAATTAGAGAATGATCAACTGCAGTGCTAAGCATCAATGGGAAGATTTAAACAAACAATACTGAGTGATTTCAAACTTCTCCCCATTGCACAAGCAAGTGGCTATCAGAACTCAGTGGCCGAGTGGATAACGCAATGGCGTTTGGAGCGAAAGGTACTGGGTTGGAGTCCCAGATTGAACGTCAACTCTGAGATGCGGGTACATCCAGCTGACGAGTCCCGAATCGGACGAAACGCGCGTCAAGCTGAATCCCACTGCTAGCAACTATCCATCTTTGCTTACCATGATCTGAAATAGCTTAGTGGACATTATGTAATCCAAATGGTTGTCTAGTTTAATTTTTATTTTATTTTTGACAAGTGACAAATGTCAAGTAATCATAGATGACAAGCCATTCAATTATTCCGCAGTGAATCATGATGAAAACCAACAATCGTCTTAGTAGTTTATTCAACAGATAGGCAAGTATCTACCTCAGTGTAATAGAAGATGATTGCTCAATGTCGCGGATTAGTTAAAGTTAGACATTAACAGCATTGAATACCTACCGACTCAGTGGTCCGGAAGTTAAGTATTCGCGAGCGAGACGGAAGGTCCTGGGTCCAAGTCCCACGAGCGGGATCGTGGGTGCGGACTTCTGAGAAGTCCCATATTAGAATGAGACGGACTTCCAGTGCTCCCAGATTTTTAATGGCGGTCTAACATTAATCGATTCATGATCTCAATTGGAACAATTCAAAACGTTGAGACGGATTGAATATTGAATTCTCCAAACCATTTTTCTGACTGTCATTATTATTTATTAATTAAATAGAGATTCGAACGCAGGGCCTACCAGTATCGTGCCAGAGCACTTAACCGATAGACTAAACGTTTATTACAGATATGCAGAATTATAGCACAGATTCTTATCCATCTATCGACTGAGGAACATATAAGAAAACCGCATTTTCATAATAGTGGATACATCGGTTTATCATTTTCCTGCGTTGGTCTAACAAAATTAATCCAATTACATTAGTGAACAACATGAATACTCCAATTAATTATAAACTCAAATCAACTTCTAACTTACGACGCTGGAATTGATGATAATCCAATTGGGCTACCTGTCACTGAAGCACGTGGAATTGAAATGGACCTGCAAAAAACATAATAAAGTAAGAATCCCATGCAAATGTATCTTAGTAGATCTATCTCATTAGATCGGTTCATAATCTTAACACGTTGAACGATCGCCACAGAGCCGCAATGATAATCATCATGTGCTCACTAGAGATTAGCTTTGAGAGGAAATACTAGGAGTTGTAGTGAATTTCAACTGTGTTGGTACGAATAAGGTACTCATGGAAGAAAATTGGATGAAATAACTCAATATCGTTAATCAATTGAAGTTAAATCTGTACACTAATGAATTCTGGCTCTGTTGTTTCAAGGATAAGCGTCCGCTCTCGAGACTGAGGTTCTTTCAGTTGGTCTCCAGCTGTGGGTCCGTGGATATCCATTGATGAACATTTTCATCCTAGAGCGAAACAGCCATCTGACAATTCTGTTTAACTTAGATCGGTCAGCAATCTAAATTGAATTCAACGATCTCCACAACCACATACTGGTAAACCAAAAGACCACAGAATCAAGTTATTATATTCTGAAGATAGTGTAGATAGCAAAATAGATAAACTAATGAACGCATTACAAAGTAATGGCTATTCAGATAATTGTTTAAAATGTTCTATCAGAAGGCAGAAAATAGAAGAAACTCCGATACGGTCAGCAAGAAAACCCACTATCTAAAACTTGATTTTAAAGGGGATATAGCGAATGACATTTTGACATGTCGACTCAAACGATCTAGTTAAAGGGTATTTTACGTCACATTGAAGTATTTATAATTGAAATCATGAGTCACTTGAAGCTAGACCACCATGGAAAACTTGTAAGTAGCAGACGCACTTTTCGTCCTATAGTGGGACTCCTCAGCAGTGCACATCCACGATCCCGCCTCGCGAGATTCCAACTCAGGACCTATCAATCTTACCTCGTCTTACCTCTAGACCACTGAGTGGGCATCCAACGGTGTTAATGTCTAACTTCCACGAAATTGAGCGACATATCCACCCTTCTTGTATTAATCAACATATGCTCACTAGTGACTGACTTCAAGAGGTGTTTCCTGGAGTTCTAGTGAGAAGCAGTGGCCAGTGGATTTCAACCAGGTTTGTTGTGAGATAGTAACTCAGTGAAGACAATAGTGGATGTGTTGCTCAATTTCATGGATCAGTTGAAGTTAGACATTAACACCGTTGGATTCCGACTCAGTAATCTACAGATTAAACGTTTGCACGCGAGATCAAAAGTTCTGGGTTGGAGCCCTGTATGCGTTATCGTGGATGAGGACTGATTAAGAGTATCATACTAGAACGAAACAGCCATCCAATTATTCCAGATTTTCAATGACGGTCTACTTTAGATCGACTCATGAATTCAACCATTAAAATAAGTATTAGACAAAATATACATACATCATCATCCAGGAGATACAAATGTTTATTAACAATTGTCTACGCAAAATGCTTCGGATCCGTTGGCCAGATACTATCAACAACAACTTTCTATGGGAAAGAACAAACCAAATCCCAGAGGAGGAAGAAATCAGGAAGAAGCGCTGAAAGTGGATATGATACACATTGAAGAAAGCATCCAATTGCATTACAAAGCAGGGTCTCAATTGGAATCCTGAAGGCCGAAGGAAAAGAGCAAGACCAAAGAACAAATTACGCCGAGAAATGGAGATAGACATGATAAGTATGAACAACAGCTGGATAGAACTTGAAAGGCATTCCCAGCACATAGTGGATTGGAGAATGCTAGTGAGCGGCCTATGCTCCTCCATAAGGAGCAACGGTTGTAAGTAAGTAAGTCGGACATCATATGTCACAACATTTACTTTCTGTAAGCTAGAAAAAAAACCACACACATATATTCATTTCATAGTCCCCACAGAACACTTACTGATCTTCATCAAATTGAAATTTATTTTTATCTAATTTTGATTTCCACGCCTTAGTTTGTTTCATTCTATTCAATGTTGCTAAATCTGTTGATGCTAATATGGAACTATTCCTTCTTCGACGTCTACGTAGTAAACAGATAAGTAATAAGATTAATGCCGCCAATAATAATAATGATGCTAAAGCGATTAATGCAATTGCAGCTGGATGTACTATAAAGAAAATACAAAAAGAAAAGTAAATAAAACGGTTTGTACTGCATATTACATGGTAGTTGAGTTTTACTATATAGATTGTTTTCATCATAGATTGATCTTAATTGGAGGTGGTCTTGTAAATTACCAAGTTTTGCTTGAATACCTACTTACATCTGTGACCCTTCGTACATTATAACCCACCTACCAGGAATCTTCAACCCACTTTGTCCTAGGTTCTACTTTGCAACTGATTCTGTCCGATTTTGATTTTTAATTTTAATAGTAATGAGCACATTCTTTTAACTTTAAACTGATGAAGTAGTAAGGTATCTACGAGGTGAAAGATTTAGATCATTAAAATATGAGATTTATATAGCTCAAGAAAGTTATCACTATATGTATATCATTTCTGAGTTCATTCAATGACCATCCAAGATCATTAAAGCAATGTATATTTGAAATAATCAAACAATATTTGGCCTGGCAATGTGTATCAGGATATGTCCCTGTAAAGTAATGACGTACCTGCCAATCAGTGTTCAATAAGCGTGGAACATCTAGCATTTTTATCTGTTCACTTAGAGAGTAAATGCTGCACTATAGGAGCATAATTTTCATTGAGGATATCATTTCACGCCCTAGCTTTTGCCTGATTTGAGTTTTTCATTCGACAGACTGAAATACACTATAGTATCTGTTATATCCTGGTGAAGACATAAGAACAGGTAACTCCTGGGACCTATTAATGGACGATTATTCTATATATATATTCTTATGGTTTAACTATTGAGTAATTAGATTGTGTATATATATATATTCATCTTAGTATAAGCTTCAATTTGATCTATGGATTATTATTATTATACGGATTACTGTTCCTAAATTATACTCAGTTTATTGATTACTGACCCCCACGTTCACAGCCACATTTGGCTTGATCTTGTACAAATATTATTTTTTATTTTATGGTGTGATGAGGTCTGTCCGTCTGGTATATTAACCGAGGATACTTGAAATAAATGATTCGCGTAGCAGAAGCTGAAATTGGTATTCCGAACTCGATTGAAAGGGACCAATAATGACGCTTGACTACTCATACCGGTCGAACATCAATGGTTTGGTATAGTGCTAATATTGGTGGATAATTCACATGATAAAAAGCCGGATATAAGACCACAGCAAATCGGCATACGGCATTCTTCATAACAGCATCGTGTTCGCGGTTAACTTTAGATGATGAAAGTGAAGTTTCCAATGACAATCCTTCTCTTACATAACAGTGACATGTTAAATGAATGGAAAATGATTGAGAATGCTAGATATGTAGCTTTCATTGAGAATCGAAAAAGGGACGGTGGTCATCACACATCAGTGGCAATCAAATATTGTATACATTTCTGTGCTATGCTTTCAACTAGTGATTTTAAATGGGAAACAATCAACAATGAACAGAATCAAATCTATAAAAAACAACTTACAAACACAGTGTTTTCCAGGATCATCTGGATTCATATCTTTCCACATTGAATTACAAAAACAGGTAATACCTGGTGGTGAATCACGGCATGTAGCATGTTCTCCACACGGATTAGTAAATTGTGAACATGTAATTGTACCTGTTGTGCCTATTATGGTAAGCAGGTATTTTTTAATAAAAGATAAAAATCAATATTCAGAAATGTTATAACTTGAATAGTTTTGACTGACAAAGTTTTAGACTGGTTAAAAACCAAGTATTACTTTTATAACACTCTGTTTTCCTCGTCTACACGAATGGGACATTTATTCACTTTAGACGAATCTCGCAAAGCGGGATCGTGGATGAGCACTGTCGAGAAGTTCCACAGTAGGACAAAACGGCCGTCCAGTGCTTCCAGGTTTCCCATGGCATGTACGCACAAAATGATGACTAAGATTTTTAAAAAATGAATTACCGAGAATAGTCAACACTTTTTGGATACTTCTGTTGAAGAGTTTACATCGGTAGATATTCTGTGAATTTAAAATGGCACACTCACGAACATCTACTTAGGTTACGAAAATGTGTTATTAAAACTGTTAAGATATTTATTCCATTACCTTAGCCAACTTCAGGTGGACATTTTGCAAATGAAGTATTTACTGTTTGGTTCCCAGAATTTACTAAGAAATTCTGTATTTTTCTGATTCGAAAACATTTGGTTGTTAATAGTTGAATTCATGAGTCGATCTAAGCTAGACGACTATTGAAAATCTGGAAGCATTGGATGGTCGTTTCGTATTAGAGCAGTCAAGATTTCCAAGTGTTCTGACGTGAGTGTCACGACCGTGTGTAGCGGAGGTCGCAGCTGCCTTCCAAGCAGTCAATCCGGGTTCTATTCCACGATCCCGCAAACGGGACTTGAATCCAGAACTTTTGATCTCCATGCGAGCGCTTACCTTGTAGACCACTGAGTCAACTGGCATCCAACTGTGGTAATGTCTAACTTCAATCAATCCATGAATGGTTGTACAACCATTTCTTAATTCGTCATAATCTTCTATCATTGTTTCAATACTTGATATTTTTGCTGTAGCATTGAATCTTGAGTGTCTAATCTTTTCTATTAATACTACTACTGTCCACACTATTGTGATATTAATCTTGACAACTTCATCTCACTGTGTGAATGAGGTATGATAATCTGATGCGATATGCATATGTACTAGGTTATGAATTGAGACTGACTAGTCAGTCGTACGTGCGTACATCAGTTCGAGTTGCATTACCACATCAACACAGAGATGAATTTGTCGATTCGAACCCCATAGTGGTAGAAGTAGTAAGATTCTAAGCATTATGTGAAAGATTAGGGTTCGAAGATGTTACTGAGGAAGTATAATCCAGTGAAACAAATTTGAAAAGAGAAACAAGATAGAGACATGAAGAATTCAGAAGATTAGGATTTGGTAGAACACAAAGTGTGGATGTTCCTTCGCCATTGCAAACGATTTTTAGCCATGTCATTTAAGGTCTCTAACCATCGATTGCTATCATCTCGCGAATCCCAACCAGGTGGTCTACACCTACCAACATGGCTCAGTTCACTTGTCAGTGACTTCATGGATTTGTGCCACGTTTTGGTCTGGCCACATCTAGCTTTCTTCCAACCTAGACTGACTAACTGACTGAGTAGTGTATAAAGTAATTGATTTAAATCCCATTGAAGAATAAATAATAATTTTAAAAGAAATGTAACAGATAGAATAAAGTGATTTTACTTACGTTGAACATCTAATGCATTTAGTTTAATAGATGATGATGAGGTGCTAGTTTTATTATATCCATTTATAAATAATCCATAAAGTTGACTACCCGTTAATTTTGTTCCGGTTGTTGTTGGTACATTAATCACTGAATCACCTTGTACACTTCTTACTACTGTACCATCTGGTTTAGTACTGGTTACTGGTGTAAAAGTCACTTTTTCACAACTTGCACCATCTGCTGCATTGTTATCACCTTGTTTTAAGTAGTATAGTAACTATTGTTGTTAGTAAATTTTTTTCAAAGCAGGGAAAAACAAACAATACGATTAAAGTATTAAGCATAATCAACTTAAAGTTTGTTTACCCCAAAGACTGGGATCAAATATAGAACTAATGAGAACCGAAAGGTTTATTAGCATAAAAAAGAAAGATGTATTCACTTGTTGTTGTTCTACCTGTATCTTCCCATTGATGTTTAGAACTTCAATTGATCAGTCTCTTGTTGGCATATGTGCATACTATGCGGACTGCCTCGATATTGCCTGAAATCACCACACTTTTCACAACAGTAATCATATTATAAGCAAAGATGGATGGTGGCTGGCAGTGGAATCCAGTTTGACGTACGTTTCATCCCATTTTGGACTCGTCAGCTGGATGTACCTACATCTCAGAGTTAATTCTCACTCTGGGACTCGAACCCAGTACCAGTGGCTTCAAACGCCATCGCGTTATCCACTTAGCTACTGATGGTTTATCCAAAGTTCCAGTTATAGATTTTTGATTTATATTGTAAGTATAACAGTGAATTGCTATCAGAATTGAATGCGATTAGTAACATATCACATATGAAGTGATATTAGAAATGTAATTAGCTGATTACTGATTTCATGAAACTTGAGTAGGGAATTGGTTTTGGTCGTTTCTTGGGTTCATTTATATTATAGCAACCATGCTACAATCACTTTCGATTATAGCCAATTTTGGTTAAGCCCTTTTTATAACTTACTTAACAGACATCGCCATTAGGATAGTAACAATTTGCATATTCTTTGCACTGCTATACCACTAGAGCACATGACACTCTAGCCGAAATGTTGACTGCTTAAATATCATTCGATGACTCATACACCTCCCCATATATGTACGCATGCAAATACTATTATCAGCCTTTGTTTTGCTTTGTTGTGCCCTTATTAAATTTGACTATAAATTGCCTATGTAATTGCTTGCTACTCGCTCGCTCGCTTGCTCCTCGTTCGTTTCCTTCGCTTGTTTGCCTGTTCACTCGCTCGTTCATATTCGCTCAGGTGTTGTTAGCTTTTAAAACTGAGTCATTCGACAATAAACTGTAGTTGCTGTTATCCTTTGTCTCCTGATTTTACGAGCCGTTAAGTTTAGAATTCTAACGTTTATCGAAGTAAATGATTAACGAATCGCGGCACTACAATATATGCATATATGCACAGTTAAAGAGTCTCAGATAGGACTTCAATGCTCTCTAATTTTCAATGATTCTTTATCCAGTCTTAATCTGTAGTGAAAAGCTCACCCTTATCTGAATAAAATCTCTACAAGTTGTATATCTGAATACTGATGACAAAGTTCACTAATCTAGTATAATTAAGTCATTGCTAGAAATCTGTGGTGTTGGAAATTTTCTTTTTTCATTAAGTGCATTTATTAATCAACCAACACTCAGATCAGAAGTTTCAATACAAATGTCAAGACAGTTCAACTGTATGGGGCGGAAACCTGGAGAACTACGAAAGCCGTCATCCAGAAGATACAGGTGTTTATTAACAGTTGTCTACGCAAGATACTTTGGATCCGTTGGCCAGACACTATGATCAATAACCTATTGTGAGAGAAAACAAAGCAGATTTCAGTGTAGGAATAAATCAGGAAGAAGTGCTGGAAGTGGAAAGGACACACATGGGGGAAATCACCCATTTGTGTCACTAGGCAAGCCTTCACATGAAATCCTGAAGGTCAAAGGGGAAGAGGAAGACCAAAGAACGCATTACGCCGAGAAATAGAGACAGATATGAGAAGAATGAACAGTGGTTGGATAGAACTAGGAAGGAAAGCCCAGGACAGAGTGGGTTGGAAAATGCTGTTCGGCGGCCTGTGCTCCATTGGGAGTAATAGGCGTAAGTAAAAGTAAAAAAGTAAGTATTTATTAATAATACTTCTAAGAACATACTTCAATGGATCATTGGTAGTGGTCATTTTTGTGATATTCAAGAAATGAATATGTCTCATCATCAATGGAATTGATTGAAATCATTGTCAGTCTGGAAACGTCTCAATTAGGAACGACGACTTTTTTTAACTAAACTGATAAGTTATCTCAACCTAGTCACTTTGTATTTGTCGGTCGAAAGTAGTAGCCTTGAAGGAAAGTATGTTTCCTAGTGGATTTAGGTCTACACTCTCCAGCTTCATAGTCTGAGATGTACCCCTGAAATATCCGGATCATAAATAAAGTTTTGCTGAAGTTGACAAATATAAGTAGTATGTATGATCAATTAAAAATGAAATCTCTAGACGAAGAAGCTTAAGAAAAGAACGAGAACAGAGAATGATCGATATGAAAGTGAAGGAACAATCGTTTGATAATCCCTACGGATGTTCTCGTTCATGACAATATCAGTTCAAAATTCTGTTTTTTTTCTTTTTATTAATAATTTCTGATCTTAGAATGCATCCGTTTACCGTAAAAAATATTTTCCTTAACTGGTAAATCATCTGAAATTAATCAATCTTGTAATTATATATAGTACAATAAAATAAAATAATAAGTCAAAGGAAACTAGACCACCATGGAAAAACCTGGAAGCACTGGACGGACATCTTGTGAGACTCCTCAGCAGTGCGCATCCACGGTACTGCTTCATGAGATTCGTACCCAAGACCTATCGGTCTTGCAAGCAAACGATTAACCTCTAGACCATTGAGTCAGCTGGCATTCATTGTTGTTAATGTCCAACTTCAACTAATCCACGAGATTGACCAACCGTCCACCATTGTCTTCAGTGAGTAACTATCTCACAACAGACCCGTTTCAACTCGACTGATCACTGCTTCTCACTAGAACTCCAGGAAATATATCTTGAAGAGTCCTATGCTGGGACGAAACGGCCGTCTAGTGCTTCTAAGTTTTTCATAGTGGTCTAGCTTGAAATGCAAAAAAAAGACAAAACAAACAGTTATTGAATAATTGAACATACTAAATCACAATATTTTGTTTTTAAGTTGCTATAACCAACTGAATTTGGATTGCTATATTCTTCAATCCATTCAACTGGTGTATCATTAACTTGATTATATATATTTGATTTTACATCAAATTTAGTAGAAACTGAAATATAAAGAAATTGATAGAATGAAAATGATGATAAATTATTTTAAAAATTTGGTATGATGAATTCTTTTTAATTAAAATCTAAGATTTTGGGTTCGAGTCCCGGAATAAACATTAACTCTAGGATGTAAATACATTCAGATGACGAGTTCCACGTAAAAAGAAGTGACGAGAGTTTTGGATTCCACTACTAACCATCATCCATTTCACCTTATAATACATATGACTTCAGGTAATATGGAATCATTGTGTACAGAATGTACATATGACAATTAGAAATTGATCAATAACAGTCCTAGTGAGTAGAAATAGATATTGGGTTCGAGTTCCGGAGTAAACATCAACTCTAGGATGTAGATACATTCAGATGATGAGTCCCAAGTAGGACAAAGGGACGCGAGTTCTGGATTCAACCACTAACCATTATCCATCTCACCTTATAATGCATATGACTGCAGGCAATATCGAGTCATTGCGTACATTGTGTACAGGAAGTACATATGCCGATTAGAGACGGATTAATGACAGTCCTAAATATCAATGGTATAATTCAAATAACCGATCCAAAAATGAATTCAAATATAACTAGTTTATATCATTTAGAAACAATTGGATAAGAGTGACCAGAGCACATTATCTGGGAGATTTCTAGTCAGAAGCGGGTAACAGGTTTAATTAAGTAAACTGATAGTCATTTAATCAAGTTAGAGATTAATGGAGTAGAGTCATTTAGTTTTAATGAGCATCAGCAGAAGAACGACCATTAACAGGCACAATAAAAAACAAAGAGTAGTATTAATAAAGATGGGCATCGAAAAGGGAATAGGATTTTTAAGGGGTTGTAGATTTTATTATTTACCACCTGTTCCTTTGCCCTTACAACTCAATAGGAAATGTAATTCTTTTAAATGTTCAATGAAGAGACTATTGTCAACAAACAATGTAATTCATGGAATTTAGTAATAATCGATCATTATTATTATTATTATTATCCCAGTCATGCTATCTTATACAAATGCCCTGTTACGGACGAGAGTGTAGAGAGTCCGCTCTCCCTCTCTAAATGCTCTCACACGGCCACGCGTATATAACCTTTGCCACGGAAGTTCTACTCACTGCCTTCTCGTGGCACCAGTGTTGTTTACGAAATTGAGAAGACGAAAAGCGAATGTCCGACGCTTTAACCGGATTGGTGGACACGGAAAGTTCACCCAAGGGAGTCGGGAAACCCCGATTCCAAACTAGTGGTGCACATGGGCGTATGAATCAACCGTTGGTCACTAGCAACCATGGGACTGCATCTCCTCACGATGCTCCCCATCCACTTCTAGTTTATTATTGTCAGGAGTCGCATTACGTGGCAACTAGGCATGATCAACACATAACCCAGAAAAATCAATATAGTTTAATAGTATCATCCATTGATTTGCTGTTTCTACACAGGACGGAAAATTCAAAAATAAACTACATAACAGTTTCATTATACTCGAGGAATGTTACGAAAATGTATCAATAATAATTTACAACTTACGTCTGTCTTACTTTCATAAACCATTTTCCACAGTTTTAAAGCAATACAGAATGTACCGTTGTACAATATACTAGTTCCTTTATAAACAGATGAATATCACATAAGGACATGACATCAGGATTGACGAGGACAGAGTTGGATAGAGAATGCTGATGAGTGGCCTATGCTCCTCCACGAGGAGTAACAGGCGTAAGTAAGCAAGAAAGTAAGCTACAAGCTCTTATTTACACTATACATTCAAATTATCTGATAATCGGTAACAGATAGTGGAGAAGTTTTGTAGCTCAGGTGGATGATTTTGATGTAGTTTTTTTCTCTGAACGACATCATCAGCACAAACTTCGGGTAGAAGACAATGAAAGCTCCACGACCAAACCATCCAGCTCAGAGAACAAAACTCCATCAACTGAAAAAAGATTTTTATCTTCAAACTTGACACATTACTAAACTATTGAAAAGTGTTGGAATGATAGTCTAAGTCTTTGAGTTTGAACTAAACTAACTAACCAGATGTTCTATCAATAGATTTACAGAATGTTGAATATCCATAGCCTACAAACTGATAGTGTATTCAGTGAAATGTTCATGAATAGTTAACATTAATATTATTTTAAACAGTTCTTAATAAACAAAATTGTATAAGTTAACTAACCGAGTGGTAGAGCAACCGGTAAAATTGCTGTTGATGGTCTTGTTCCAAGAGAAAATTCAATAAAACTATATGTAGGAACTCCATCATAGGTTGGTGTTGTTGTGTTAGCCAAGTTTGTTGTTGGAGTTGTTGTCGATAATACTTCTGCCTGTGGTTGTGCCGTTATTGTTATTGATGGTGTTGTTGATTGAGTAGTAGTAGTCGTAGTAGTAGGAGTAGGAGTAGTAGGTATAAATTCCTCTGGTTTAAGGTAAAATATATTGTTACAATAAGATAAAGAATAATTCAATCTTAAACATACTATTCTTTAGATAGTTTTCACTACTATTGTGTTAGCAAGAAATAATAATCTAATTCAGTAGTCTAATTATGTAGTAGTAGTAGTAGTAGTAGTAATAGTACTAGTGAAATCTATTAAGATTTTAAATTTTATACATACATTTTGTAGTTGGATAATTTATCTCGAATACTGTCCAGTTCAATGGGATTAATATAAACAACTGACCACAACCATAAATCTTATGCCATAGTTCAGAATATCTTAGAAAATCTCTTTCTGGTGCATATACTATCATTATTTGTCGTCATGGATATCGAAACGGAATGATGTCCCATCAATCACTTGGCTAGATAATGATAATAATAATAGATTTTTGTATTGGTTGTTTGAATCTTACCATTGATATTTAGGACTTTCATTGATCAATCTGTAATTGGCATATGTGCATAATGTACATAATGACTCCATATTACCTAAAGTCATAGGCATTAAAAAGTGAGATGGATGGCGGTTTGTAGTGGAACTCATCATCTGTATGTATCTACATTCTAGAGTTGATGTTTACTCCGATAGTTGAACTCAGTACCGTCCGTTTCAAGTGTCATTGGGTTATCCACTTAGCTATAGAGTGCTGATAGCCATTTACTTGTGCAATGAGGTGAAACTTAAATTCACTTGGTATTGTTTGCTATTATCTTCCTATTGTGGTTTAGGATTGCAATCGATGCAGTTACATCTAAATGATGAGTCCCAAAGAGGACGAAATGCTCGTCAAACTGGATTCCACTGTTAACCATCATCCATTTCAACTTATAATGTTTATGACTTAAGGTAATATTGAAGCGATTCGCACATGATGTACATACACCAACAAGAGACTGATCAATTTCAGTCCTACACAACAATGGGATGATAAAAGAAAACAATATCCAATGAATTAGGATTTAAAATCAGTATACTAAAAGTGATATGATTCAACTTACAACAAATATATTTAAAATTTTAAAACATACTACTATCATCAAAACTAGTAGGCATTTCACTCATTTTTTCTATGAAACAAAGCCGCATATTATAAAAAGATTTAGCGTACACTTTTAGCCTACTCATAAGTAGTATATAATTTATAGTACAAAATACTTCATCTTGACCGAAATTAATGTGCATTAAGCATAAAAAAATCATGTTTATAGATTGTTAACAAAAATGATACTTGCGTGATTATGAACTTGTTCATCAGAATATTGTTTTAAATAAATTCGTTCGTTATTTTGAAAAGAGGAAAGGAAAACAGAGTTAACTATCACTGGATCTTCTATTCTTCAGTTATTTTATTATCATCAATTCAGTGTTGTTTCCATGGACTGCTTCCAGATTTTACATGGTGATCTATCTTTAATGAATTCATGATCTCAACTGTATTAATATTTAAAATGTTTGATTAATTGAAAGTTTCACTGTATTGATTAGGTTAACCATAGTGAAATGTCTTCCATGCTAGATTTAGTAATGAGCTTATACAATATTGATCAATGAATAAGAATCAATCATAAAAAGAACTTGTATGAATTCAAATATCACTTGAGTATGTAATGAGTTCTTATAATCGATCATATTGAAATAACTCCACCTGTAACTCGTCTAAGGTTACGGTCGGTTCAAAGCCCAAATAAAGGAGGAGGAGGAGGAGGAGGAGGAGGCGGAGGGTTAGACATGGGGTCAACGACCTCATCTCGTACAGAACAACTTTATTAAAATAAACGCTAACCAAGGTAAACAAATTAAACTATGTAAACTCGATTTCTCTCCCTGAGGGGTAACAAGCGAAACGAAAATATGTAAAAATGAGCAGAACTTATGATAGTGCAGAAATATAATAAACATAAAGTGAATGAATATGAAACAAAACAAAACAAAAACATCTAAAATAATATTATGATCAATAGACTGAAAAGTATGTCATTCAAATTCATACCTCTGTAATGAAGATAAATAAGGTGTGATTATATTAAGATATTAAGCCACCACTAACTCCGTCTGGATGCCCTCTGAGGTTACTACCGGTCCCAAGCCCCGGATAAGGAGGGGTGTTGAGCATAAGGTTATCGACCCCATCCCGTAAAAAACTAACTAGCCAAAGAAAAATGCTAATCAGAAAACAATTAAACTATTACTAGTGTTTCAAGCAGTTTGATTGGTAAAGTTAGTGAACTATTGTAGGAAACAAGAACAAGGATGGGGACAATCGGCTGTATTTGAGCACAAATTACAGGATATTTCACTAACATCTGACAACCATACAGCAGTAGACAGTTAATTTGCAAACTATCAATCAATTGTCTCCATCTTGACTGTTTCTTCTGTTAATATCAGTCCATCTTCTCTGATTTCATTGTTCATGCATTTTCATACCGATTGTGCTTCGTTCCGGTTCTCTCCTTATCAATCTTCCGGTGAAAGACATTTTCTACCTGACCATCACCATATACTATTTATGCGTATATAAGTAACCCACACCAGAATATATATACTTGTTAGGTGCATCTAAAAACACAGGGTGTGGGAAACCATAGTCCTCCACAACACTATACACAGCAGAACAGAAGCTTTAGGATTGATTTTCAAATGATTTAAAAACTTTGTATAATTATTGTCAGAAGTATATTCCTATTTTTATAGAAGCCATGGCTTTTAAAATGCTCAGACCGCCTAATTTGTGTACAAAATCAATTTTTTCAACCTTCAAGATTATTACATAACCACTGGAAGAAACTAGAAAGGATTACTAAGGACATAGTTGGATGGAGAATGCTGATGGGCTGCCTATGCTCCTCTACGAGGGGTAACAGGCATAAGTAAGTAGGTAAACTTCAATTTTTTTTTCAAAAACCTACATTACTGCAAAAATTTCTAATTCTTTGTATGTTACAATAATTCTTTACTCTTTACTTCTAAAATTTTTTAGAAGCTCTTCTTAGAGATTGTTAAATTTTCGTTGTTTACAACATAGATTCATCTAAGTCGGACCACCATTGACAACCTGTGAGCACTGTTTAGAAGTCGTAACTAGTGAAGTTTAAATTTGTTTAGTTTGAAGTGTTCATCTATAGAAGACAATGAAAAATGGTTGTACAATGTCTCAAATTGAATGAATTTAGATAGGAATACCACTGAGTTCCTTCTCAGAGATTTATAGGTTATTTGCTTGCTTACGAGACTATGAGTTCTAGGTCCTATTCCTTGTAGGGTTGCTTATGGGTATTGATGCAGAGTCCTATACTAAGATAAAACAACCGTTCAAGGCCACTTGATTTTCAGTCAGTATTTAGCTAAGGTCGGTTCGTGACGTCAATAATATCGGATTAGTTTGAGAACCGCTTATTCTAGAAACAAGTATGGAAAACTGATAGACTGATGTCGTAAAAGTAAGCTAAGGTAAAAGTAAGGACCGAATTTAACAAAAGTAGGTAATCATTTGTATTCAGAAAGGGGATTTGTGGATATTATAGTCATTTTAATAGTTGAATTCATGAGTCCGTTGAAGCTAGACCACCATGGAAAACCTGGAAGTACTGGACGGCCGTTTCCTCCTATTATAGGACTCCTCTAGCGCGAGACTGGTAGGTCCTGGGTTTGAATCTCGTCAGTGCGGCATAGTGGATGCACACTGCTGAGGAGTCCGATTATAATAATAATAATACGAAAAAGCCGTCCAGTGTTTCCAGGTTTTCCATGGTGGTCTAGCTTCAATTGACTCACGCTTTCAAACATTTGTTTGTATAAAATTGTATGTATGTATGTATGTATGTAATACAATAAGATTGAATTATTCAAAATAAACATGAACGGGTTGTTGACAGCCGAAGTAAACGAAGAACATGACTGCTGATAAACTGAAAATAATGAAACAAAGGGAGATATAGAAGGAAATTCAGTGAAGTTTAAATTAACATAAATAAAATAGAAAATAAAAGTCAATTATTACACCAAACAAAAAGTTATTCTGCTTGAGGCATTCATGAGAACAAAATGAAGCTATAAGTAATATAAGTCAAGCATGGCAAGCATAAAAATAAGCGGAACATGAAGCTGTCACAAAACAACTCACTGGAAGTAGATGATTCACCAGGTACAGCAGATGCAGTAACGGTCGTAGACGAGGAGTTATATGGTAGGACAGGTGAAAATGACGACGAAATATAAGGACTGGTATTCAACAATGAACTGACGGTTGAATGCGAAAGAAACGTGGTTGAAATTGAGGCGGAAGAATCAATAAGAGATGAAGATGTGTATGTGATCAAATTTGGAAAAGTGGACGTAACAGCATTCACATATTTTGAAGACGAGGAAGAAGAAACATCAAAAGAAGCAGGGGTAGAGTAAGAGAAAAACGAAGAAGATGAAGAACTCAGATGGTTTCCCATAAAGGATGTTGGTGTTTGTGATGTAGATCCGGTGAATTGTGAATCGGAAGCACTGGTTGTGGCTACAGAGGACAGTGTTGGTGATGGTGTGAATGTTGCGTTGGACGTTGACACTGTCAGTGGTAGTGAAGTAGTTGCAGTTGGAGTGTGAGTAGTTTGTGAGAGATTGAATGTTGTTGATGGTGTGACAGATTGTTGTGATTGTGTAGTTGATGTTCCTGTGAAGGTGGACGGTGATGGTGATGGTGTTTGTGTGGCTGACTGTGTTGATGATGTGGTGTCAATTGTGTGAGTGGATGTTGGTGTTTGTGATGTAGATCCGGTGAATTGTGAATCGGAAGCACTGGTTGTGGCTACAGAGGACAGTGTTGGTGATGGTGTGAATGTTGCGTTGGACGTTGACACTGTCAGTGGTAGTGAAGTAGTTGCAGTTGGAGTGTGAGTAGTTTGTGAGAGATTGAATGTTGTTGATGGTGTGACAGATTGTTGTGATTGTGTAGTTGATGTTCCTGTGAAGGTGGACGGTGATGGTGATGGTGTTTGTGTGGCTGACTGTGTTGATGATGTGGTGTCAATTGTGTGAGTGGATGTTGGTGTTTGTGATGTAGATCCGGTGAATTGTGAATCGGAAGCACTGGTTGTGGCTACAGAGGACAGTGTTGGTGATGGTGTGAATGTTGCGTTGGACGTTGACACTGTCAGTGGTAGTGAAGTAGTTGCAGTTGGAGTGTGAGTAGTTTGTGAGAGATTGAATGTTGTTGATGGTGTGACAGATTGTTGTGATTGTGTAGTTGATGTTCCTGTGAAGGTGGACGGTGATGGTGATGGTGTTTGTGTGGCTGACTGTGTTGATGATGTGGTGTCAATTGTGTGAGTGGATGTTGGTGTTTGTGATGTAGATCCGGTGAATTGTGAATCGGAAGCACTGGTTGTGGCTACAGAGGACAGTGTTGGTGATGGTGTGAATGTTGCGTTGGACGTTGACACTGTCAGTGGTAGTGAAGTAGTTGCAGTTGGAGTGTGAGTAGTTTGTGAGAGATTGAATGTTGTTGATGGTGTGACAGATTGTTGTGATTGTGTAGTTGATGTTCCTGTGAAGGTGGACGGTGATGGTGATGGTGTTTGTGTGGCTGACTGTGTTGATGATGTGGTGTCAATTGTGTGAGTGGATGTTGGTGTTTGTGATGTAGATCCGGTGAATTGTGAATCGGAAGCACTGGTTGTGGCTACAGAGGACAGTGTTGGTGATGGTGTGAATGTTGCGTTGGACGTTGACACTGTCAGTGGTAGTGAAGTAGTTGCAGTTGGAGTGTGAGTAGTTTGTGAGAGATTGAATGTTGTTGATGGTGTGACAGATTGTTGTGATTGTGTAGTTGATGTTCCTGTGAAGGTGGACGGTGATGGTGATGGTGTTTGTGTGGCTGACTGTGTTGATGATGTGGTGTCAATTGTGTGAGTGGATGTTGGTGTTTGTGATGTAGATCCGGTGAATTGTGAATCGGAAGCACTGGTTGTGGCTACAGAGGACAGTGTTGGTGATGGTGTGAATGTTGCGTTGGACGTTGACACTGTCAGTGGTAGTGAAGTAGTTGCAGTTGGAGTGTGAGTAGTTTGTGAGAGATTGAATGTTGTTGATGGTGTGACAGATTGTTGTGATTGTGTAGTTGATGTTCCTGTGAAGGTGGACGGTGATGGTGATGGTGTTTGTGTGGCTGACTGTGTTGATGATGTGGTGTCAATTGTGTGAGTGGATGTTGGTGTTTGTGATGTAGATCCGGTGAATTGTGAATCGGAAGCACTGGTTGTGGCTACAGAGGACAGTGTTGGTGATGGTGTGAATGTTGCGTTGGACGTTGACACTGTCAGTGGTAGTGAAGTAGTTGCAGTTGGAGTGTGAGTAGTTTGTGAGAGATTGAATGTTGTTGATGGTGTGACAGATTGTTGTGATTGTGTAGTTGATGTTCCTGTGAAGGTGGACGGTGATGGTGATGGTGTTTGTGTGGCTGACTGTGTTGATGATGTGGTGTCAATTGTGTGAGTGGATGTTGGTGTTTGTGATGTAGATCCGGTGAATTGTGAATCGGAAGCACTGGTTGTGGCTACAGAGGACAGTGTTGGTGATGGTGTGAATGTTGCGTTGGACGTTGACACTGTCAGTGGTAGTGAAGTAGTTGCAGTTGGAGTGTGAGTAGTTTGTGAGAGATTGAATGTTGTTGATGGTGTGACAGATTGTTGTGATTGTGTAGTTGATGTTCCTGTGAAGGTGGACGGTGATGGTGATGGTGTTTGTGTGGCTGACTGTGTTGATGATGTGGTGTCAATTGTGTGAGTGGATGTTGGTGTTTGTGATGTAGATCCGGTGAATTGTGAATCGGAAGCACTGGTTGTGGCTACAGAGGACAGTGTTGGTGATGGTGTGAATGTTGCGTTGGACGTTGACACTGTCAGTGGTAGTGAAGTAGTTGCAGTTGGAGTGTGAGTAGTTTGTGAGAGATTGAATGTTGTTGATGGTGTGACAGATTGTTGTGATTGTGTAGTTGATGTTCCTGTGAAGGTGGACGGTGATGGTGATGGTGTTTGTGTGGCTGACTGTGTTGATGATGTGGTGTCAATTGTGTGAGTGGATGTTGGTGTTTGTGATGTAGATCCGGTGAATTGTGAATCGGAAGCACTGGTTGTGGCTACAGAGGACAGTGTTGGTGATGGTGTGAATGTTGCGTTGGACGTTGACACTGTCAGTGGTAGTGAAGTAGTTGCAGTTGGAGTGTGAGTAGTTTGTGAGAGATTGAATGTTGTTGATGGTGTGACAGATTGTTGTGATTGTGTAGTTGATGTTCCTGTGAAGGTGGACGGTGATGGTGATGGTGTTTGTGTGGCTGACTGTGTTGATGATGTGGTGTCAATTGTGTGAGTGGATGTTGGTGTTTGTGATGTAGATCCGGTGAATTGTGAATCGGAAGCACTGGTTGTGGCTACAGAGGACAGTGTTGGTGATGGTGTGAATGTTGCGTTGGACGTTGACACTGTCAGTGGTAGTGAAGTAGTTGCAGTTGGAGTGTGAGTAGTTTGTGAGAGATTGAATGTTGTTGATGGTGTGACAGATTGTTGTGATTGTGTAGTTGATGTTCCTGTGAAGGTGGACGGTGATGGTGATGGTGTTTGTGTGGCTGACTGTGTTGATGATGTGGTGTCAATTGTGTGAGTGGATGTTGGTGTTTGTGATGTAGATCCGGTGAATTGTGAATCGGAAGCACTGGTTGTGGCTACAGAGGACAGTGTTGGTGATGGTGTGAATGTTGCGTTGGACGTTGACACTGTCAGTGGTAGTGAAGTAGTTGCAGTTGGAGTGTGAGTAGTTTGTGAGAGATTGAATGTTGTTGATGGTGTGACAGATTGTTGTGATTGTGTAGTTGATGTTCCTGTGAAGGTGGACGGTGATGGTGATGGTGTTTGTGTGGCTGACTGTGTTGATGATGTGGTGTCAATTGTGTGAGTGGATGTTGGTGTTTGTGATGTAGATCCGGTGAATTGTGAATCGGAAGCACTGGTTGTGGCTACAGAGGACAGTGTTGGTGATGGTGTGAATGTTGCGTTGGACGTTGACACTGTCAGTGGTAGTGAAGTAGTTGCAGTTGGAGTGTGAGTAGTTTGTGAGAGATTGAATGTTGTTGATGGTGTGACAGATTGTTGTGATTGTGTAGTTGATGTTCCTGTGAAGGTGGACGGTGATGGTGATGGTGTTTGTGTGGCTGACTGTGTTGATGATGTGGTGTCAATTGTGTGAGTGGATGTTGGTGTTTGTGATGTAGATCCGGTGAATTGTGAATCGGAAGCACTGGTTGTGGCTACAGAGGACAGTGTTGGTGATGGTGTGAATGTTGCGTTGGACGTTGACACTGTCAGTGGTAGTGAAGTAGTTGCAGTTGGAGTGTGAGTAGTTTGTGAGAGATTGAATGTTGTTGATGGTGTGACAGATTGTTGTGATTGTGTAGTTGATGTTCCTGTGAAGGTGGACGGTGATGGTGATGGTGTTTGTGTGGCTGACTGTGTTGATGATGTGGTGTCAATTGTGTGAGTGGATGTTGGTGTTTGTGATGTAGATCCGGTGAATTGTGAATCGGAAGCACTGGTTGTGGCTACAGAGGACAGTGTTGGTGATGGTGTGAATGTTGCGTTGGACGTTGACACTGTCAGTGGTAGTGAAGTAGTTGCAGTTGGAGTGTGAGTAGTTTGTGAGAGATTGAATGTTGTTGATGGTGTGACAGATTGTTGTGATTGTGTAGTTGATGTTCCTGTGAAGGTGGACGGTGATGGTGATGGTGTTTGTGTGGCTGACTGTGTTGATGATGTGGTGTCAATTGTGTGAGTGGATGTTGGTGTTTGTGATGTAGATCCGGTGAATTGTGAATCGGAAGCACTGGTTGTGGCTACAGAGGACAGTGTTGGTGATGGTGTGAATGTTGCGTTGGACGTTGACACTGTCAGTGGTAGTGAAGTAGTTGCAGTTGGAGTGTGAGTAGTTTGTGAGAGATTGAATGTTGTTGATGGTGTGACAGATTGTTGTGATTGTGTAGTTGATGTTCCTGTGAAGGTGGACGGTGATGGTGATGGTGTTTGTGTGGCTGACTGTGTTGATGATGTGGTGTCAATTGTGTGAGTGGATGTTGGTGTTTGTGATGTAGATCCGGTGAATTGTGAATCGGAAGCACTGGTTGTGGCTACAGAGGACAGTGTTGGTGATGGTGTGAATGTTGCGTTGGACGTTGACACTGTCAGTGGTAGTGAAGTAGTTGCAGTTGGAGTGTGAGTAGTTTGTGAGAGATTGAATGTTGTTGATGGTGTGACAGATTGTTGTGATTGTGTAGTTGATGTTCCTGTGAAGGTGGACGGTGATGGTGATGGTGTTTGTGTCGATGTTGTCGTTAGAAATTTTATTTCTCCTGTTGAATAACTGAAGTCCGTTGTATTTACAGTCGTTGTTAATTCATTGGTTAGTTGCGTAATATTCGTAATGTTTGGTGTATCTATTTTTTGCGAGAAAGAATATTATTGGATTAAGATTTACTTATTTTCTTAGTGTCATATTTTTGTTGCCAGGCAGTTTTTAAATATTTTTTTATTCAACATATTTCTTATCTCCTATTTGTGTCTCATTTCTTCTTTGATTTTTTCTCTTTTTTTTCTTTTTTTTGGTTTTCAATTTCTAAACCGTTTAGCATTTTAGTTTACAACTTCCTCCTATATCTCTTTATATTTTTAGGAACTGCAAATGCCTAATACCTTCTTGTCAGTACTATGTAACTACTCATTTCTATATGTGTTGGTGGAGACGATTTGTATTTAGTTGGATGATTATGATAGAGTTTTGTTCTTTGATCAGGATAGTTTGGTCATGGAACCTTCAACCTCCAACATCTGAACAACGTGATCACCACAAACGTCGGGTAGAAATGACCTATTTGAATTTCTCCATATGTGGTTCACAGGTTATCTTGTACACTTCAATGTTGATTACTTCTTGTTGGCCTCAAATCTGTCATTGTTTATTTCTTTGTTTCGGAGAAATTCAAACAATTCACTTCTAACAGATTTTTGTGATGTTGATGTCGTTCAGAAGGTAGATAAAATCTCCGCTACCAAACCATCCAGATCAGAGGATAAAACTTCATCAAAATCATTTTTATATAATTTGTACAAGTGTTTAGGTTTATTGGATAAGTTTCTTCAGTTGCAAATAAAATTTTATGTATAAACATACGTATGCTGACATTTCATTTAATGTACAATGTCTAAATAAATAAGATTCAGTATCAGAATGAGGTTTTTGGAGATTGCTGTACTTTTAATTAAGATTATGAGTTAAGGCGTTCTCGTGCGTGACCGAAAATCCTAGATTGGAATCCCACGGATTGATCGTGGGTGCACACTACTGACGAGTCCCACAATAGGACGAAATTTTCTTTAGTCGTCATCAAACATTTCCATGAATTCACTTAGTATTGTTTGTTTGATTCTTCCCATTGATGTTTTATGACTGCAACTGGTCAGTCTTTCATTGGCATATGTGCATACTGTGCTTATTGCGTCGATATAGCCTTAATTCACAAGCGTGGTAAGAAAACATGGATAGTGGCTAGCAGTGGAATCCAGGATGAGCGTTTTGTCCTGGGTTTGAGTCCCAGAGTGAACATCAACAAGTCTGAGGTGCAGGTACATCCAGCTGACGAGTCCCAAATCGGACGAAACGCGAGTCCTGGATTCCACTGCTAGTTTCATGAATGCTTAAGTAGATACTTAAATACAATCTATATGCAAATTCAGCTGATAGTATTTTACTTGAATCTTCTTATTGATGTTTAGAACTGCAATTGATCAGTCTTTTGTTGGCATATGTGTATCTTATGCATATTACCAAGATATTGCCTTAAGTCACAAGCATTATAAACAAAGATGGATAGTGGGAAGATTCAAGTAAACAATACCAAGTGAATTTAAACTTCACCTCATTACACAAGCATTTAGCTTTCAGGACTTAATAGCTAAGTGACATAACACGACGATAGTGGTTTCAGGTCCTGGAGTGAATGTCAACTCTAGGATGCAGTTACATCCAGCTGACAAGTCTTAAATAAGACGAAGTGGTAAATATTATGTATGCTAATGAGAATCTTTTGAATTTGAAGTAGTCCATCATCTGATGTGTCATTGGAATATAGTTGCCTGAATCTTGAGGATAAAGAGTGAAATATGTTCTTCTTTTCACTCAATGGAATTCAGATATGGAAATTCGTGTACTGATCATTCCAGGTCAGTCTTCTATATATAGATCTCTGTTAAGAAAAACCATCTGACCTGCTTTTCAATTGGACATCAAGAAAATAAAATTTTTCGTTTGCCTCTACTTTCAAAGTGAATTGAATTGAGGAGTGACAGTTATTGAAACTATTCAAAATTCTATTGAAGGTTCATATCTTCTTCACAAATAAGGAAAATACCATCCATATATCTCTTATATAAAAGTGAACGGTTGCTCAAGTCGTGGATTGATTGAAGTTAGACATTAACACCATCGGATGTCAGCTCAGTGGTCTATCGGTTTAGGGCTCTGGTTCCAGACTGGTAAGTCCTGAGTTCGGATCTCGCGAGTGCGGGATCGTGGGTGCGGACTGTTGAGGAGTCCCATAATGAGACGAAACGGCTGTCCAGTGCTTCCAGGTTTTCCATGGTGATCTAGCTCATGATTTCAACTATGAAAATGCTAAATTCTTTACGAAACCCCCTCTGATCTAAAAGTAATCTCTTAATTATTACTTGTCGAAGTACCGTATTTTCTACATTGGTCATGGAAAAATCAGACAAGAGGGGACCCATTAGAGAACCCATAGGGACTCCATCTGTTTGTCTATAGAAATCATCATTAAAATCTGAATTGCACATTCAGTGTACATCGTAGAAGTAGCTCTTTTAGATTATGTTTTAGTATACAAATAACAAAGTCATCATTTTCAATATAGTCATATAAAAAACATAGTTTCCAAACGCATCTTAGAACACTGACTGACATGGATTTTAAAAGGTGAATACAAAACCATTACTAGTTCAATATAGGAACATTTAATCAAATATGGATACATCACTTCAAAGGAGTCTTCTTTTAAAATATTCTACAGAATCAAAGGATTTGGATCGAAGAGAAGTCGAAACAAAATATTATGCACTGCTGTGTCATCGGCAATCCACCAACTCAATCCCGAACTTTGAGTGCACAAACGATACTCTTTAACACATTTTCATGATTATTATTCAATTATTATGAACTTGATATGTCTTTTAATAATCGAGATCTTGAGTCGGTTGAAGCTGGACCACCATAGAAGACCTGGAAGCACTGAACGACCGTTTTGTCCTATTACAGGACTCCTCAGTAATGCAAATACACGACCTTGCACCACGATCAAGATGATCGTGGATGCACACAGCTAGGGAGTCCCACAATAAGATGAAATGATCAAGTCTTTCCTAGTGTTCTAGCTTCAATTGACTCATGATTTCAACTATGAAAATACTAAATCTCCACAAAAAACCCTTTCTGATAATCTAATATAGTAGTAATTATCTTAAAATACAAGTATATTATCAACTAATCTAAAGTAATACAATAATAAAATAATACCCCTTTCATGTATTACTGAAGTAATTGAAAGGATTTCATGTATAAAACTTGTAACTAACCACATATATAAAGAGGAGGGGGGGGGGTTACAAAGTTTAGACAACGATGTCCATCATAGGAAATCATTCAAAAGATATACAAATACATACAGGGTTAAGAAATGAATGATTATGATAAACATACATTCTTTTATTGTTGTTGTTGTTGTTGAAACACTCTAAATTGTAATTTGATAAATCTGCAGTTCAATATACTACTGATAAACTACTTATTAAATCACAATGGTATTCGATTATGGTATTTAATAATCGTATAACATAAAAGAAAATATACTTATATTCATTTAACGCACTACTTAATGTAAATAATCTATACATGAAATAAACATTAAATCGATAATCCATGTTACCTAGATACAAAATCTATTTTGGGAGGATTATCTACATAATGAGATTTAAAAAAAAAAAAAGGGGGGGGGCGGGGAAATATGTGATTATTGATGAAACTATTATTAAACTATAGAAAAATTGAATAAGAAAATAGCATTATTATGAAAACAATACAAAAAACAAAATAAGCTGAAGTCCCAAAAAAGTTTAAAAGAGAGTAAATTTAATAGCGATAAAAATCGAAAACTCAAAATAAATAACTATTAAGATTGACTTACCGGAAATTAATGTCGAAACAGATAACGTCGAACTAGTTGAAACAGCTGTGAAGACACTTTGAGAAATTGAAGAAGTGAGATTTGTGATAGTTGGTGATATGGTATATGTGGTTTCTGTCGATGGAGTTTGAGCAGTAGGAGTTGTGAGGTTGGTGATCGTTGGAGTTGTGCTGGAGGAGATTGGTGTTGATTGTGACGCTGTGGTGATGGAGGTTGTTGCAGTTGTGGTTGTATCTGTGTTAGGAGTGGTGTTTGTGGGTGCGGTGTTGATTGTGGTTGGAATAATGGTGGGGGTGGTGGTGTTCAGTGTTGCTGGTGCGGTTGTGAAGCTGGTCGGTGTTGTGGACGTGTTGGTGGATGTGGACGGTGTTGTGGATAGTGGTGTGGATGTGAATAGTGTAATGGTGGTTAGGTTGGGATTGTTTGTGGTTGACAAGGTGGATGTGGTTTCTGTCGATGGAGTTTGAGCAGTAGGAGTTGTGAGGTTGGTGATGGTTGGAGTTGTGCTGGAGGAGATTGGTGTTGATTGTGACGCTGTGGTGATGGAGGTTGTTGCGGTTGTGGTTGTATCTGTGTTAGGAGTGGTGTTTGTGGGTGCGGTGTTGATTGTGGTTGGAATAATGGTGGGGGTGGTGGTGTTCAGTGTTACTGGTGCGGTTGTGAAGCTGGTCGGTGTTGTGGACGTGTTGGTGGATGTGGACGGTGTTGTGGATAGTGGTGTGGATGTGAATAGTGTAATGGTGGTTAGGTTGGGATTGTTTGTGGTTGACAAGGTGGATGTGGTTTCTGTCGATGGAGTTTGAGCAGTAGGAGTTGTGAGGTTGGTGATGGTTGGAGTTGTGCTGGAGGAGATTGGTGTTGATTGTGACGCTGTGGTGATGGAGGTTGTTGCAGTTGTGGTTGTATCTGTGTTAGGAGTGGTGTTTGTGGGTGCGGTGTTGATTGTGGTTGGAATAATGGTGGGGGTGGTGGTGTTCAGTGTTACTGGTGCGGTTGTGAAGCTGGTCGGTGTTGTGGACGTGTTGGTGGATGTGGACGGTGTTGTGGATAGTGGTGTGGATGTGAATAGTGTAATGGTGGTTAGGTTGGGATTGTTTGTGGTTGACAAGGTGGATGTGGTTTCTGTCGATGGAGTTTGAGCAGTAGGAGTTGTGAGGTTGGTGATGGTTGGAGTTGTGCTGGAGGAGATTGGTGTTGATTGTGACGCTGTGGTGATGGAGGTTGTTGCGGTTGTGGTTGTATCTGTGTTAGGAGTGGTGTTTGTGGGTGCGGTGTTGATTGTGGTTGGAATAATGGTGGGGGTGGTGGTGTTCAGTGTTACTGGTGCGGTTGTGAAGCTGGTCGGTGTTGTGGACGTGTTGGTGGATGTGGACGGTGTTGTGGATAGTGGTGTGGATGTGAATAGTGTAATGGTGGTTAGGTTGGGATTGTTTGTGGTTGACAAGGTGGATGTGGTTTCTGTCGATGGAGTTTGAGCAGTAGGAGTTGTGAGGTTGGTGATGGTTGGAGTTGTGCTGGAGGAGATTGGTGTTGATTGTGACGCTGTGGTGATGGAGGTTGTTGCAGTTGTGGTTGTATCTGTGTTAGGAGTGGTGTTTGTGGGTGCGGTGTTGATTGTGGTTGGAATAATGGTGGGGGTGGTGTTGTTCAGAGTTACTGGTGCGGTTGTGAAGCTGGTCGGTGTTGTGGACGTGTTGGTGGATGTGGACGGTGTTGTGGATAGTGGTGTGGATGTGAATAGTGTAATGGTGGTTAGGTTGGGATTGTTTGTGGTTGACAAGGTGGATGTGGTTTCTGTCGATGGAGTTTGAGCAGTAGGAGTTGTGAGGTTGGTGATCGTTGGAGTTGTGCTGGAGGAGATTGGTGTTGATTGTGACGCTGTGGTGATGGAGGTTGTTGCGGTTGTGGTTGTATCTGTGTTAGGAGTGGTGTTTGTGGGTGCGGTGTTGATTGTGGTTGGAATAATGGTGGGGGTGGTGGTATTCAGTGTTACTGGTGCGGTTGTGAAGCTGGTCGGTGTTGTGGACGTGTTGGTGGATGTGGACGGTGTTGTGGATAGTGGTGTGGATGTGAATAGTGTAATGGTGGTTAGGTTGGGATTGTTTGTGGTTGACAAGGTGGATGTGGTTTCTGTCGATGGAGTTTGAGCAGTAGGAGTTGTGAGGTTGGTGATGGTTGGAGTTGTGCTGGAGGAGATTGGTGTTGATTGTGACGCTGTGGTGATGGAGGTTGTTGCAGTTGTGGTTGTATCTGTGTTAGGAGTGGTGTTTGTGGGTGCGGTGTTGATTGTGGTTGGAATAATGGTGGGGGTGGTGGTGTTCAGTGTTACTGGTGCGGTTGTGAAGCTGGTCGGTGTTGTGGACGTGTTGGTGGATGTGGACGGTGTTGTGGATAGTGGTGTGGATGTGAATAGTGTAATGGTGGTTAGGTTGGGATTGTTTGTGGTTGACAAGGTGGATGTGGTTTCTGTCGATGGAGTTTGAGCAGTAGGAGTTGTGAGGTTGGTGATGGTTGGAGGTTGTGCTGGAGGAGATTGGTGTTGATTGTGACGCTGTGGTGATGGAGGTTGTTGCGGTTGTGGTTGTATCTGTGTTAGGAGTGGTGTTTGTGGGTGCGGTGTTGATTGTGGTTGGAATAATGGTGGGGGTGGTGGTGTTCAGTGTTACTGGTGCGGTTGTGAAGCTGGTCGGTGTTGTGGACGTGTTGGTGGATGTGGACGGTGTTGTGGATAGTGGTGTGGATGTGAATAGTGTAATGGTGGTTAGGTTGGGATTGTTTGTGGTTGACAAGGTGGATGTGGTTTCTGTCGATGGAGTTTGAGCAGTAGGAGTTGTGAGGTTGGTGATGGTTGGAGTTGTGCTGGAGGAGATTGGTGTTGATTGTGACGCTGTGGTGATGGAGGTTGTTGCAGTTGTGGTTGTATCTGTGTTAGGAGTGGTGTTTGTGGGTGCGGTGTTGATTGTGGTTGGAATAATGGTGGGGGTGGTGGTGTTCAGTGTTGCTGGTGCGGTTGTGAAGCTAGTCGGTGTTGTGGACGTGTTGGTGGATGTGGACGGTGTTGTGGATAGTGGTGTGGATGTGAATAGTGTAATGGTGGTTAGGTTGGGATTGTTTGTGGTTGACAAGGTGGATGTGGTTTCTGTCGATGGAGTTTGAGCAGTAGGAGTTGTGAGGTTGGTGATCGTTGGAGTTGTGCTGGAGGAGATTGGTGTTGATTGTGACGCTGTGGTGATGGAGGTTGTTGCAGTTGTGGTTGTATCTGTGTTAGGAGTGGTGTTTGTGGGTGCGGTGTTGATTGTGGTTGGAATAATGGTGGGGGTGGTGGTGTTCAGTGTTACTGGTGCGGTTGTGAAGCTGGTCGGTGTTGTGGACGTGTTGGTGGATGTGGACGGTGTTGTGGATAGTGGTGTGGATGTGAATAGTGTAATGGTGGTTAGGTTGGGATTGTTTGTGGTTGACAAGGTGGATGTGGTTTCTGTCGATGGAGTTTGAGCAGTAGGAGTTGTGAGGTTGGTGATCGGTTGGAGTTGTGCTGGAGGAGATTGGTGTTGATTGTGACGCTGTGGTGATGGAGGTTGTTGCAGTTGTGGTTGTATCTGTGTTAGGAGTGGTGTTTGTGGGTGCGGTGTTGATTGTGGTTGGAATAATGGTGGGGGTGGTGGTGTTCAGTGTTACTGGTGCGGTTGTGAAGCTGGTCGGTGTTGTGGACGTGTTGGTGGATGTGGACGGTGTTGTGGATAGTGGTGTGGATGTGAATAGTGTAATGGTGGTTAGGTTGGGATTGTTTGTGGTTGACAAGGTGGATGTGGTTTCTGTCGATGGAGTTTGAGCAGTAGGAGTTGTGAGGTTGGTGATCGTTGGAGTTGTGCTGGAGGAGATTGGTGTTGATTGTGACGCTGTGGTGATGGAGGTTGTTGCAGTTGTGGTTGTATCTGTGTTAGGAGTGGTGTTTGTGGGTGCGGTGTTGATTGTGGTTGGAATAATGGTGGGGGTGGTGTTGTTCAGTGTTACTGGTGCGGTTGTGAAGCTGGTCGGTGTTGTGGACGTGTTGGTGGATGTGGACGGTGTTGTGGATAGTGGTGTGGATGTGAATAGTGTAATGGTGGTTAGGTTGGGATTGTTTGTGGTTGACAAGGTGGATGTGGTTTCTGTCGATGGAGTTTGAGCAGTAGGAGTTGTGAGGTTGGTGATGGTTGGAGTTGTGCTGGAGGAGATTGGTGTTGATTGTGACGCTGTGGTGATGGAGGTTGTTGCAGTTGTGGTTGTATCTGTGTTAGGAGTGGTGTTTGTGGGTGCGGTGTTGATTGTGGTTGGAATAATGGTGGGGGTGGTGTTGTTCAGTGTTACTGGTGCGGTTGTGAAGCTGGTCGGTGTTGTGGACGTGTTGGTGGATGTGGACGGTGTTGTGGATAGTGGTGTGGATGTGAATAGTGTAATGGTGGTTAGGTTGGGATTGTTTGTGGTTGACAAGGTGGATGTGGTTTCTGTCGATGGAGTTTGAGCAGTAGGAGTTGTGAGGTTGGTGATGGTTGGAGTTGTGCTGGAGGAGATTGGTGTTGATTGTGACGCTGTGGTGATGGAGGTTGTTGCAGTTGTGGTTGTATCTGTGTTAAAAGTGGTGTTTGTGGATGCGGTGTTGATTGTGGTTGGAATAATGGTGGGGGTGGTGTTGTTCAGTGTTACTGGTGCGGTTGTGAAGCTGGTCGGTGTTGTGGACGTGTTGGTGGATGTGGACGGTGTTGTGGATATTGTCGTGTCTGTTGTCACTGTTTGATCACTTACCCCAATATTGATTTTTTGCGTTGTTTGCATTATTTCTTCTGTTGTTGTTATAGCTGTTTCTAGGTTTATACTTGTCTCTACAATCAAATAATTTTATGATCATTATGTATATTATATTCATGTCTCAATATATTTTTTTTGTTGTTTAAATCTTTCTGACACCCCTCCCTTTTGTTTATTGAGTGACTTTTTTTGTGTGTGATTTTTTGATTGTTTTATTTAAATTTTATTTTGACTGTTTTATGGGTGTTTTATATTTTGTTACTAAGCCATTCATTCTACATTTTATTACCAATGGCTTTAGTTGTTAATTAAAGTCATTCGTTTGTATTATGCAAGTTATTTATGGCATATTTATGTACATTTAAGGGGTGATAGTTTTTCTATTTTGTTAATCGTTTTTACTTGTTCAGATTTGAAATACATTTCATTAACCCTTATGTTTTTACTATCCAAGAATCGATCTAATCTATGGCAATATTGAGTACATGGAATATCTGAACAACAGTTTTGTTTTGCTATGGGACTTTTTATTAGTGTGCATCTATGTAGGGTATAACATGGTTATTCATTTTAAACAACGGATGAAGGGTTTTGAAAGATCATCAATTAAATGAAGTTAGACATTAAAAATGTTGGATACAGTATCAATGGTGTAAATGTTAAGCGTTCTTGCACTACACTGAAAGTCCTAGGTTCGAGTCCTATGTGCAAAATCAAGAATGTACACTGCTGAGAAATTCCATACTATAGAATAAAACGGTCATTCAGTATTTCAATGGAGGTCCATGATTGAACTTGTATTGATTCATTCACCATATCTAGTTTCAAATGGATGATCTACTAACATACTATATTATTCAACAATATCGTCTTCAGTATGTATATTAGTAGTATCTTGATATTTGAAACAGATTATCATTGGTGTAAAGAATATTGCTCAAGCAAATGTCTCTTTTTATTTTTTGGTCTCATTTAGATTCTGTGAATTGATTTTGTACTGTTGGACATTAATTTACTCATCACTACACAGGATATCTGTTTGATTACTTTACTTAGTTGTTTCAATTTCAAATCTTAAAGCTTAGTAGTAAGGAGTTAAATCTTATTGAAGTGTATCAATTCCTTTGAATATACAGATAGATCTTGCTGATTAGTATTAGTTGAATGGAAATTTAAAAGAAGCAACACTTCTTGTCAATAGTCAAACTTACTTATAACTCATGGACGAATATATGCTGCCCATTGTGGTTGAAATTTTTTAAGAAAGATTGTTTTTCTACAGAATGAGGTTGCTGACCTCATGCTCAACTTCCCTTTTTTACTCAAGCTTGGGATCGGTAATAACTCTTAAAGCGGTATATGCGAAATTATCAATAGTGTAAAGTCACCTGTAGGTGTTTTAATTGTTCAAGAAACATTTTCATTTAAATCGGTAATCAATAAAGGAAGTCGGCTCTTTGAAATTTTAAAATATTCAAGTTTCATATTTTTATCATAATGCACATTTTCAGGAAAAGTTAACATTTATTGAGATCATGAGTCAATGAAAGCTAGACCACAATGGAAAATTTGGTAGCTTTAGATGGACATTTCGTCCTATTGTAGGACTCCTCAATAGGTATTTCCTAGAGTTCTAGTAAGAAGAAGTGACTAGTGGACTTCAACCAGGTTTGTTATGGGATAGTAAATCATTGAAAACAATGGTGGATGTATCGCTCAATTTCGTGAATTGGTTGAAGTTAGACATTAACACCGTTGGATGCCGTTCCGCTCAGTGGTTTAGAGGTTAAGCCTTCACGTGCGAGACTGATAGTTCCTAAGTTCGAATCTCGTGGGGCGAGATCGTGGATGCGCACCCCTGAGGAGTCCCGCAATAAGACGAAACGGCCCTCCAGTGCTTCCAGGTTTTTCGTATTGGTTTAGCTTCAATTGACTCATGATCTCAACTATTAAAATAAGAAGTATATGAATTGGTTATTCAAATCTATAAGGAAATCGATCATCAGCGCTGCCCTTGTCTAATTACAATATGAATATAAATGAAATGGATTAAAATTATTAAAATATGAAAGAAAATAAAAAAACTTACGTCCAGCTTGTATATCATACAATTGTACTGTATCATTTGATTGAACACTTGTATTATACGTTGTAGTAAATGCATTAGTAAAATCAGTTGTATTAATGACATCCGTTGATGTTGAATTAATTTGTATGGTAGCATTACCACCGACTACATTCGATGTTGTATTTGATGTAGCTTGTCGTTTTTCCCAAATAATTAATATTTGTCTTGGTGAAAAAACTACTTTAGTACAAGATTTTTGTTTATTAGCTGTGAGTGTAGCTTTTTCTAAAGTTCTCATGATCTATAAATTAAAAAAAAATAAATAGAATTTAATAAAACTGAAGATAAAACTCAGGCTTGTACTTTTAGCCTAAAAAGTTGAACTACTTAATTATATTCAGTAGTTCAGTTGTCATTTAATCAATTTTAAAATTTATACAATTCGTGACACGAGGTTTTGTTGTAGTTGTATACCATTTATCTTATTCATTTGTACTTAATTCTGTGAACAGGATATTTATTTCTGTATAAAAATACTGTCATAATCTTACAACATACTGTAACCCAAATCATTCATTTTAAAATACAGTAATAGTAATTATGTGAATTCTTTCAACTATGTTCGGTAGATTGTATGCAAAGATGGATAGTGGTCAGCAACTATCCATCTCCGCTTGAAATGCTTGTGAATTTAGGCTATATCGACGCTATAAGCATAGTATATACATATACCTATTAGAGACTCACCAGTTGCATTCCTAAAACATCAATGGGAAGATTCAAACAAAAATACTAAATGTATATTCCGTAGAGTTTAATAAAACTCTTTTATCAAAAGTGGAGTTGAAACGGAATTCTGTAGCAATGCATTTTAAAAGATGGAATCAAAAAGAATAGCTGCTTGATTGAGTTTTTACGTTAGTTAGGACTCATCAATAAAATGTATCAAAGACATTTAAAGGAAGTACCATTTTCATTATCTTAACTTTTCCAAATTTTCTTTTATAGTTGAATATACTATGTGTATACTTTGAAGTGATTTCTACACGTGATAATGGTTCACTTAATATTTAATAACTATTAGATGTTTTCCATTCAGGTATAGCTTTTGGAGATTAAAAGTTTTCATTTTTATTGTAGTACTAGCATTTTTCGTAGGTATTTAGTCACTTAGAGTAAAGAATATTTGTGAAATCTGTATTTTCATCAAGATCAAGTTTTCCAGAAAGGAATATTAGATATATAAAATAGACTTCTTTCTATATGCTTTCATTAGATTTGATTCCATTCAACAATACTATTAACTTTTCATACTGATGGATGAATAGCTGTTGTAAATGACAAATATTTCGTTTGTCTACTTATAATTATATAAGTAGTACAAATAATAATTATAAAGAAACTGAAAACCAAAGTTCTGATGAAACATGAATTGTTGAAATAATCAGAAAATTATCATGAATCTAAATAGAAGAAGTAGAAATAAATACACTTACCAAATAGCAATATTGTTTAGATAATACAGCATAATTCAATGATGTTGTATCAGCATATGATGGATCCCAATCAATTGCTGAATTATTCGTTTGATGATAAATAGTTGAATCAATCCAATAATTTGTTGAAACTATTTTTTTATTAGAAAGAATAAAATGAAAAGAGATTAGCCAGTATGATGAGAATAAAATCATATTCTTTTATAAAATTATTCATAAGAACGTATTCCATTCTGCTGGGATCACTGGGTAAGTAACGGTGAGATTAGACACTGGGTATTAGGGAATGATGGTAAATCAGTTGATGAGGTCATGAATATTCATCGACTGAGATGGTTGGGTAATGTGTTACGTATACTGGAACATCGATTACCACGACTCGCTATGCTGACTAGTGTAGGGGATGGATGGAAAAGAGTTAGAGGCGGCCAAACCAAAAAGTGTACTCACGGTCGAATTTCGTTTCTTCGAGTAATCGGTTTAATTATGAAAATTACATCATTTTTCAAGTCAACATCATCAGTACAAATTTCTGATAAAATTCATTTCTATACATCAGGGCTTGAAGTCACTAACTTCTTATCTGAGCCATGTTAGCAGATGCAGACTACTTGCTTGGGGTCCTCGTGACTTTCGTAACCAATGGTTGGAGACTCTGTGTGACGTGGCTGAGAATCGAACAGAATGGCGTAGGTGTATACACTCTTTGTCTACCCTTAAACCTTGAGATTAAAATTGCTTCATAAGTTTCTTCCTCTTTATAGTATATGCTTATATACAACCTATCTTTGATATACTATCACCACTGAATTAACTACTTCTATGAACCCGGTGTTCATCTTGTTGTGCTAACGAGGTATGGCAACTTGGACCGATGCATAAATGTACCTGGTCCTACGTCGTAGTTGACTGACCGACTGACTGACTGATTCCATTGAGTAATGTTTTAGATTCAAACACTTACTTACCTACTTACGTTTTTACTTTATTAAAATAAACAAAAGCAGTTCAATAAAACAAAAACTAAACTATATAGTTAGGTTATAAAGAAACTAAGTGATATATAATCGTTTAATATTCAATATTTTCAAGGATCTTTTGTCTTTTTGGTCCCATTCATGAGCCGATTAAAATTAGACTATCATGAAAGAATTTGGAAGCATTGATTAACTGTTTTGTTCTAGTATTGTACGATGGAATCTCCACGACCAAAAAATCCAGCTCAGAGAACAAAACTCTATCTTATTTCTACGCACTTCAATAAAGTGTTTATAGAACGATGGTTAGAGGTAGTTAATATGAAACCTTAGACCTAGGTTTTGTTCTACTTTGTACTTTTCAATAAGGTGTACGTGAAATCTTGAGAGAGCTGATGCTCACTGACAAATTCAACTTCATGTTATCTAGCTTCATAATCAGAAAAATTACCACTGAGATATCTGGCCCATGACTGATCTCCTGTAAGATTAAGATCTATTTACATTTGAGCATCAGTTCCCTTAAGATTACAGGTACATTCTACTGATCAATGCCAAGTAACATGAAACCTAGATCCAATGTTTCCTGTTGACTATCTTCAACCAACGACGGGTAACAAGCATAAATAAGTAAGTAACAGATGAATATCTTTCTACATTGAAAATATTTTAATCAAATTATATAACACAACTAATAAACATTAAAATCAAATACCATTGAAAATGATTAGAATGACCCTTATTTTAATCATTCAATGAATTACAATTTTTTTTGTATTCAAATGTATCATTTGATATGTTTGTTTGTTTGCGTGTGCATGTGTGTGTGTATGCGTGCATGCGTGCATGCGTGCGTTCGTGCACGTAACAACTGCCGCTCCCCCCTCATACACACACACACACATGCACATAAGCACACAGAGTAAACTATTAAACTGATACTGTTAAACTAAAAATAAAAACTATTTACTACTGAAGAACAATACTACTAATAAACTACTAATAAACAAGAAAACCAAAAAAAAAAAATGTATTAAATGGAATACAAATTCAAACCGTCATCATCATTATCATCATTATTAAATTGTCATTTATTTATTGAATTAGTTTATTGAAGTAGGTAGTTGACAATTATTATCTAGTAAATCAGCATGTATTCTGTAAAAAAGAAGAAAGATCTCTCTATTGTGATATTGTTAGTGATTTGAATAATGGCGTTATATATATTTGCTATTCAAGTCTATGACATTTGTGTCATTGGAACATGTAAACCAAATCATCTTTTGTGTGTGTGTGTGTGTATGAGTGTATTAGTACATATTCAATGAGAAACCTTGATCACTATAGTTTAATGATAACGGATGGCTAGGAAAGATAATTGTATGATATGAAGAGATTAAACATTCGCATGAGAGATTGAAGGTCCTCAGGTTCGAGTCCTGCGAGTAGCATCTTGGATGAGCACTGTTGAAGAGTCTTGTACTAGAAGGAAATGGTCAACCAATATAGGCTTTAATCGATTCATGAATTCAACATAGTTTCACCATTCAAATCATAAAACTAAACTATAACATGAATTTGAAAGAAATTAACTTGACTCTATAATTTATGGATGAACCAATTAGGCAAAAAAAAAATAAGAGGATCTGGATTTTAGAGCCTTAATTTATTCATCCATTTAGTAAAATACCAATTTGAGATTATAGCTAATGACAATCCTAAATCTTGTTCCTAACCCTAACTGTCGACTATAAGTCATAAATTTTAATTCATCATACAGGTTTATAACCGTCATTTGATTTTAGATATTAGGTAGACACTCTCGAAGGACATCTCACGATTACTCAAAAAGGTCGTTTATAAATGATAATCTCACCGAAACAAACAATAAAAGCATCAATCATCTACAGAAAATTACTAAAATGACAATAGTACTAATTAGTTGATTATACTACTAACAATGATAAATAATGTTTGTATAGAATGAAAGAAAACAAAATGATCTACTATGGGTTAGTTTACTATATATTGACAGTTAGATTTCTATAAATATACAGATATCAATAGATACCAGTTCAAGAAGGATACATTTCTGTTACTAAGCAACATAAACAAAACGAAATATGAAAAATGAAAAGCAAAAGGCTAACATAAAATGAAAATGAAACGTACAGGACAATATGAATAGAGATATATATGGAACAAAACTAAAGACAGAAAGAATTAACAACTACATGTGATGTGAACGAAATGAAATATACATTCGTGTGGAAAAAAACATCAAAAAACTGAAAAAAAGAATACGAATACTAAGAGGAGAAAATCGAACTTACCAGAAGGTAACACAGGATCAACAAGAAAACCACTAAATTCCGTTGCAAACACAGGAAGATAAAGGAAATCGGAAGTGAAGAAATGGGCAGATTCAGTAAACGTGAAATTTTTGATCTGCGAAAAAGTTGTAGTGACGTTTATTGGCGTGGTCGGTGTTTGTGTAGTTGTGGACGATGTTGGTGATGTGGTCAGGCTTGTGGTGGTCATCGTCGTGGGTGTTTGAGTAGGGGTTGTAGATTCAGTCATGATGTGTGTTGTTGTGGGCGTTTCGGTGTGCGTGGATAGGGTAGTCTGTGTGGTTGTTACTGTGGTGGGTGTCTGTGTTTCGGACTGTGTTGTAGGTGTTGTTTGCAGCGATGTGGTTTGTTCGAGTGTGGTGGTGTGCATGACGCTGGTTGTTGTTGCGGGTGTTGTGATGAGTGTGGTTGTCGATTCGGTTGTTGGTGATGTTGTTGTTGTTGGTGGTGCTGTTGTGCTCTGAGTTGTCGGGATGGTGGTGGTGTCTGTTTGTGAATGTTGTGTAGTGGTTGGTTCGGTCGTGGTAGTTGTTGAGAGTGTTGGTGTTGTGAGTGTGATTGTGGTTGTCGACTGGTCTGTTTGAGCGTGTGTGGTTGTGGCGAGTGTTGGTGTTGTTGCGGTTGTGATTGTGTTTTCCACAGTGGGTGTTTGTGATGGTGTTGTGATGATGGTTGTTGACGTGGTCGGTGTTTGTGTAGTTGTGGACGATGTTGGTGATGTGGTCAGGCTTGTGGTGGTCATCGTCGTGGGTGTTTGAGTAGGGGTTGTAGATTCAGTCATGATGTGTGTTGTTGTGGGCGTTTCGGTGTGCGTGGATAGGGTAGTCTGTGTGGTTGTTACTGTGGTGGGTGTCTGTGTTTCGGACTGTGTTGTAGGTGTTGTTTGCAGCGATGTGGTTTGTTCGAGTGTGGTGGTGTGCATGACGCTGGTTGTTGTTGCGGGTGTTGTGATGAGTGTGGTTGTCGATTCGGTTGTTGGTGATGTTGTTGTTGTTGGTGGTGCTGTTGTGCTCTGAGTTGTCGGGATGGTGGTGGTGGTGTCTGTTTGTGAATGTTGTGTAGTGGTTGGTTCGGTCGTGGTAGTTGTTGAGAGTGTTGGTGTTGTGAGTGTGATTGTGGTTGTCGACTGGTCTGTTTGAGCGTGTGTGGTTGTGGCGAGTGTTGGTGTTGTTGCGGTTGTGATTGTGTTTTCCACAGTGGGTGTTTGTGATGGTGTTGTGATGATGGTTGTTGACGTGGTCGGTGTTTGTGTAGTTGTGGACGATGTTGGTGATGTGGTCAGGCTTGTGGTGGTCATCGTCGTGGGTGTTTGAGTAGGGGTTGTAGATTCAGTCATGATGTGTGTTGTTGTGGGCGTTTCGGTGTGCGTGGATAGGGTAGTCTGTGTGGTTGTTACTGTGGTGGGTGTCTGTGTTTCGGACTGTGTTGTAGGTGTTGTTTGCAGCGATGTGGTTTGTTCGAGTGTGGTGGTGTGCATGACGCTGGTTGTTGTTGCGGGTGTTGTGATGAGTGTGGTTGTCGATTCGGTTGTTGGTGATGTTGTTGTTGTTGGTGGTGCTGTTGTGCTCTGAGTTGTCGGGATGGTGGTGGTGGTGTCTGTTTGTGAATGTTGTGTAGTGGTTGGTTCGGTCGTGGTAGTTGTTGAGAGTGTTGGTGTTGTGAGTGTGATTGTGGTTGTCGACTGGTCTGTTTGAGCGTGTGTGGTTGTGGCGAGTGTTGGTGTTGTTGCGGTTGTGATTGTGTTTTCCACAGTGGGTGTTTGTGATGGTGTTGTGATGATGGTTGTTGACGTGGTCGGTGTTTGTGTAGTTGTGGACGATGTTGGTGATGTGGTCAGGCTTGTGGTGGTCATCGTCGTGGGTGTTTGAGTAGGGGTTGTAGATTCAGTCATGATGTGTGTTGTTGTGGGCGTTTCGGTGTGCGTGGATAGGGTAGTCTGTGTGGTTGTTACTGTGGTGGGTGTCTGTGTTTCGGACTGTGTTGTAGGTGTTGTTTGCAGCGATGTGGTTTGTTCGAGTGTGGTGGTGTGCATGACGCTGGTTGTTGTTGCGGGTGTTGTGATGAGTGTGGTTGTCGATTCGGTTGTTGGTGATGTTGTTGTTGTTGGTGGTGCTGTTGTGCTCTGAGTTGTCGGGATGGTGGTGGTGGTGTCTGTTTGTGAATGTTGTGTAGTGGTTGGTTCGGTCGTGGTAGTTGTTGAGAGTGTTGGTGTTGTGAGTGTGATTGTGGTTGTCGACTGGTCTGTTTGAGCGTGTGTGGTTGTGGCGAGTGTTGGTGTTGTTGCGGTTGTGATTGTGTTTTCCACAGTGGGTGTTTGTGATGGTGTTGTGATGATGGTTGTTGACGTGGTCGGTGTTTGTGTAGTTGTGGACGATGTTGGTGATGTGGTCAGGCTTGTGGTGGTCATCGTCGTGGGTGTTTGAGTAGGGGTTGTAGATTCAGTCATGATGTGTGTTGTTGTGGGCGTTTCGGTGTGCGTGGATAGGGTAGTCTGTGTGGTTGTTACTGTGGTGGGTGTCTGTGTTTCGGACTGTGTTGTAGGTGTTGTTTGCAGCGATGTGGTTTGTTCGAGTGTGGTGGTGTGCATGACGCTGGTTGTTGTTGCGGGTGTTGTGATGAGTGTGGTTGTCGATTCGGTTGTTGGTGATGTTGTTGTTGTTGGTGGTGCTGTTGTGCTCTGAGTTGTCGGGATGGTGGTGGTGGTGTCTGTTTGTGAATGTTGTGTAGTGGTTGGTTCGGTCGTGGTAGTTGTTGAGAGTGTTGGTGTTGTGAGTGTGATTGTGGTTGTCGACTGGTCTGTTTGAGCGTGTGTGGTTGTGGCGAGTGTTGGTGTTGTTGCGGTTGTGATTGTGTTTTCCACAGTGGGTGTTTGTGATGGTGTTGTGATGATGGTTGTTGACGTGGTCGGTGTTTGTGTAGTTGTGGACGATGTTGGTGATGTGGTCAGGCTTGTGGTGGTCATCGTCGTGGGTGTTTGAGTAGGGGTTGTAGATTCAGTCATGATGTGTGTTGTTGTGGGCGTTTCGGTGTGCGTGGATAGGGTAGTCTGTGTGGTTGTTACTGTGGTGGGTGTCTGTGTTTCGGACTGTGTTGTAGGTGTTGTTTGCAGCGATGTGGTTTGTTCGAGTGTGGTGGTGTGCATGACGCTGGTTGTTGTTGCGGGTGTTGTGATGAGTGTGGTTGTCGATTCGGTTGTTGGTGATGTTGTTGTTGTTGGTGGTGCTGTTGTGCTCTGAGTTGTCGGGATGGTGGTGGTGGTGTCTGTTTGTGAATGTTGTGTAGTGGTTGGTTCGGTCGTGGTAGTTGTTGAGAGTGTTGGTGTTGTGAGTGTGATTGTGGTTGTCGACTGGTCTGTTTGAGCGTGTGTGGTTGTGGCGAGTGTTGGTGTTGTTGCGGTTGTGATTGTGTTTTCCACAGTGGGTGTTTGTGATGGTGTTGTGATGATGGTTGTTGACGTGGTCGGTGTTTGTGTAGTTGTGGACGATGTTGGTGATGTGGTCAGGCTTGTGGTGGTCATCGTCGTGGGTGTTTGAGTAGGGGTTGTAGATTCAGTCATGATGTGTGTTGTTGTGGGCGTTTCGGTGTGCGTGGATAGGGTAGTCTGTGTGGTTGTTACTGTGGTGGGTGTCTGTGTTTCGGACTGTGTTGTAGGTGTTGTTTGCAGCGATGTGGTTTGTTCGAGTGTGGTGGTGTGCATGACGCTGGTTGTTGTTGCGGGTGTTGTGATGAGTGTGGTTGTCGATTCGGTTGTTGGTGATGTTGTTGTTGTTGGTGGTGCTGTTGTGCTCTGAGTTGTCGGGATGGTGGTGGTGGTGTCTGTTTGTGAATGTTGTGTAGTGGTTGGTTCGGTCGTGGTAGTTGTTGAGAGTGTTGGTGTTGTGAGTGTGATTGTGGTTGTCGACTGGTCTGTTTGAGCGTGTGTGGTTGTGGCGAGTGTTGGTGTTGTTGCGGTTGTGATTGTGTTTTCCACAGTGGGTGTTTGTGATGGTGTTGTGATGATGGTTGTTGACGTGGTCGGTGTTTGTGTAGTTGTGGACGATGTTGGTGATGTGGTCAGGCTTGTGGTGGTCATCGTCGTGGGTGTTTGAGTAGGGGTTGTAGATTCAGTCATGATGTGTGTTGTTGTGGGCGTTTCGGTGTGCGTGGATAGGGTAGTCTGTGTGGTTGTTACTGTGGTGGGTGTCTGTGTTTCGGACTGTGTTGTAGGTGTTGTTTGCAGCGATGTGGTTTGTTCGAGTGTGGTGGTGTGCATGACGCTGGTTGTTGTTGCGGGTGTTGTGATGAGTGTGGTTGTCGATTCGGTTGTTGGTGATGTTGTTGTTGTTGGTGGTGCTGTTGTGCTCTGAGTTGTCGGGATGGTGGTGGTGGTGTCTGTTTGTGAATGTTGTGTAGTGGTTGGTTCGGTCGTGGTAGTTGTTGAGAGTGTTGGTGTTGTGAGTGTGATTGTGGTTGTCGACTGGTCTGTTTGAGCGTGTGTGGTTGTGGCGAGTGTTGGTGTTGTTGCGGTTGTGATTGTGTTTTCCACAGTGGGTGTTTGTGATGGTGTTGTGATGATGGTTGTTGACGTGGTCGGTGTTTGTGTAGTTGTGGACGATGTTGGTGATGTGGTCAGGCTTGTGGTGGTCATCGTCGTGGGTGTTTGAGTAGGGGTTGTAGATTCAGTCATGATGTGTGTTGTTGTGGGCGTTTCGGTGTGCGTGGATAGGGTAGTCTGTGTGGTTGTTACTGTGGTGGGTGTCTGTGTTTCGGACTGTGTTGTAGGTGTTGTTTGCAGCGATGTGGTTTGTTCGAGTGTGGTGGTGTGCATGACGCTGGTTGTTGTTGCGGGTGTTGTGATGAGTGTGGTTGTCGATTCGGTTGTTGGTGATGTTGTTGTTGTTGGTGGTGCTGTTGTGCTCTGAGTTGTCGGGATGGTGGTGGTGGTGTCTGTTTGTGAATGTTGTGTAGTGGTTGGTTCGGTCGTGGTAGTTGTTGAGAGTGTTGGTGTTGTGAGTGTGATTGTGGTTGTCGACTGGTCTGTTTGAGCGTGTGTGGTTGTGGCGAGTGTTGGTGTTGTTGCGGTTGTGATTGTGTTTTCCACAGTGGGTGTTTGTGATGGTGTTGTGATGATGGTTGTTGACGTGGTCGGTGTTTGTGTAGTTGTGGACGATGTTGGTGATGTGGTCAGGCTTGTGGTGGTCATCGTCGTGGGTGTTTGAGTAGGGGTTGTAGATTCAGTCATGATGTGTGTTGTTGTGGGCGTTTCGGTGTGCGTGGATAGGGTAGTCTGTGTGGTTGTTACTGTGGTGGGTGTCTGTGTTTCGGACTGTGTTGTAGGTGTTGTTTGCAGCGATGTGGTTTGTTCGAGTGTGGTGGTGTGCATGACGCTGGTTGTTGTTGCGGGTGTTGTGATGAGTGTGGTTGTCGATTCGGTTGTTGGTGATGTTGTTGTTGTTGGTGGTGCTGTTGTGCTCTGAGTTGTCGGGATGGTGGTGGTGGTGTCTGTTTGTGAATGTTGTGTAGTGGTTGGTTCGGTCGTGGTAGTTGTTGAGAGTGTTGGTGTTGTGAGTGTGATTGTGGTTGTCGACTGGTCTGTTTGAGCGTGTGTGGTTGTGGCGAGTGTTGGTGTTGTTGCGGTTGTGATTGTGTTTTCCACAGTGGGTGTTTGTGATGGTGTTGTGATGATGGTTGTTGACGTGGTCGGTGTTTGTGTAGTTGTGGACGATGTTGGTGATGTGGTCAGGCTTGTGGTGGTCATCGTCGTGGGTGTTTGAGTAGGGGTTGTAGATTCAGTCATGATGTGTGTTGTTGTGGGCGTTTCGGTGTGCGTGGATAGGGTAGTCTGTGTGGTTGTTACTGTGGTGGGTGTCTGTGTTTCGGACTGTGTTGTAGGTGTTGTTTGCAGCGATGTGGTTTGTTCGAGTGTGGTGGTGTGCATGACGCTGGTTGTTGTTGCGGGTGTTGTGATGAGTGTGGTTGTCGATTCGGTTGTTGGTGATGTTGTTGTTGTTGGTGGTGCTGTTGTGCTCTGAGTTGTCGGGATGGTGGTGGTGGTGTCTGTTTGTGAATGTTGTGTAGTGGTTGGTTCGGTCGTGGTAGTTGTTGAGAGTGTTGGTGTTGTGAGTGTGATTGTGGTTGTCGACTGGTCTGTTTGAGCGTGTGTGGTTGTGGCGAGTGTTGGTGTTGTTGCGGTTGTGATTGTGTTTTCCACAGTGGGTGTTTGTGATGGTGTTGTGATGATGGTTGTTGACGTGGTCGGTGTTTGTGTAGTTGTGGACGATGTTGGTGATGTGGTCAGGCTTGTGGTGGTCATCGTCGTGGGTGTTTGAGTAGGGGTTGTAGATTCAGTCATGATGTGTGTTGTTGTGGGCGTTTCGGTGTGCGTGGATAGGGTAGTCTGTGTGGTTGTTACTGTGGTGGGTGTCTGTGTTTCGGACTGTGTTGTAGGTGTTGTTTGCAGCGATGTGGTTTGTTCGAGTGTGGTGGTGTGCATGACGCTGGTTGTTGTTGCGGGTGTTGTGATGAGTGTGGTTGTCGATTCGGTTGTTGGTGATGTTGTTGTTGTTGGTGGTGCTGTTGTGCTCTGAGTTGTCGGGATGGTGGTGGTGGTGTCTGTTTGTGAATGTTGTGTAGTGGTTGGTTCGGTCGTGGTAGTTGTTGAGAGTGTTGGTGTTGTGAGTGTGATTGTGGTTGTCGACTGGTCTGTTTGAGCGTGTGTGGTTGTGGCGAGTGTTGGTGTTGTTGCGGTTGTGATTGTGTTTTCCACAGTGGGTGTTTGTGATGGTGTTGTGATGATGGTTGTTGACGTGGTCGGTGTTTGTGTAGTTGTGGACGATGTTGGTGATGTGGTCAGGCTTGTGGTGGTCATCGTCGTGGGTGTTTGAGTAGGGGTTGTAGATTCAGTCATGATGTGTGTTGTTGTGGGCGTTTCGGTGTGCGTGGATAGGGTAGTCTGTGTGGTTGTTACTGTGGTGGGTGTCTGTGTTTCGGACTGTGTTGTAGGTGTTGTTTGCAGCGATGTGGTTTGTTCGAGTGTGGTGGTGTGCATGACGCTGGTTGTTGTTGCGGGTGTTGTGATGAGTGTGGTTGTCGATTCGGTTGTTGGTGATGTTGTTGTTGTTGGTGGTGCTGTTGTGCTCTGAGTTGTCGGGATGGTGGTGGTGGTGTCTGTTTGTGAATGTTGTGTAGTGGTTGGTTCGGTCGTGGTAGTTGTTGAGAGTGTTGGTGTTGTGAGTGTGATTGTGGTTGTCGACTGGTCTGTTTGAGCGTGTGTGGTTGTGGCGAGTGTTGGTGTTGTTGCGGTTGTGATTGTGTTTTCCACAGTGGGTGTTTGTGATGGTGTTGTGATGATGGTTGTTGACGTGGTCGGTGTTTGTGTAGTTGTGGACGATGTTGGTGATGTGGTCAGGCTTGTGGTGGTCATCGTCGTGGGTGTTTGAGTAGGGGTTGTAGATTCAGTCATGATGTGTGTTGTTGTGGGCGTTTCGGTGTGCGTGGATAGGGTAGTCTGTGTGGTTGTTACTGTGGTGGGTGTCTGTGTTTCGGACTGTGTTGTAGGTGTTGTTTGCAGCGATGTGGTTTGTTCGAGTGTGGTGGTGTGCATGACGCTGGTTGTTGTTGCGGGTGTTGTGATGAGTGTGGTTGTCGATTCGGTTGTTGGTGATGTTGTTGTTGTTGGTGGTGCTGTTGTGCTCTGAGTTGTCGGGATGGTGGTGGTGGTGTCTGTTTGTGAATGTTGTGTAGTGGTTGGTTCGGTCGTGGTAGTTGTTGAGAGTGTTGGTGTTGTGAGTGTGATTGTGGTTGTCGACTGGTCTGTTTGAGCGTGTGTGGTTGTGGCGAGTGTTGGTGTTGTTGCGGTTGTGATTGTGTTTTCCACAGTGGGTGTTTGTGATGGTGTTGTGATGATGGTTGTTGACGTGGTCGGTGTTTGTGTAGTTGTGGACGATGTTGGTGATGTGGTCAGGCTTGTGGTGGTCATCGTCGTGGGTGTTTGAGTAGGGGTTGTAGATTCAGTCATGATGTGTGTTGTTGTGGGCATTTCGGTGTGCGTGGATAGGGTAGTCTGTGTGGTTGTTACTGTGGTGGGTGTCTGTGTTTCGGACTGTGTTGTAGGTGTTGTTTGCAGCGATGTGGTTTGTTCGAGTGTGGTGGTGTGCATGACGCTGGTTGTTGTTGCGGGTGTTGTGATGAGTGTGGTTGTCGATTCGGTTGTTGGTGATGTTGTTGTTGTTGGTGGTGCTGTTGTGCTCTGAGTTGTCGGGATGGTGGTGGTGGTGTCTGTTTGTGAATGTTGTGTAGTGGTTGGTTCGGTCGTGGTAGTTGTTGAGAGTGTTGGTGTTGTGAGTGTGATTGTGGTTGTCGACTGGTCTGTTTGAGCGTGTGTGGTTGTGGCGAGTGTTGGTGTTGTTGCGGTTGTGATTGTGTTTTCCACAGTGGGTGTTTGTGATGGTGTTGTGATGATGGTTGTTGACGTGGTCGGTGTTTGTGTAGTTGTGGACGATGTTGGTGATGTGGTCAGGCTTGTGGTGGTCATCGTCGTGGGTGTTTGAGTAGGGGTTGTAGATTCAGTCATGATGTGTGTTGTTGTGGGCGTTTCGGTGTGCGTGGATAGGGTAGTCTGTGTGGTTGTTACTGTGGTGGGTGTCTGTGTTTCGGACTGTGTTGTAGGTGTTGTTTGCAGCGATGTGGTTTGTTCGAGTGTGGTGGTGTGCATGACGCTGGTTGTTGTTGCGGGTGTTGTGATGAGTGTGGTTGTCGATTCGGTTGTTGGTGATGTTGTTGTTGTTGGTGGTGCTGTTGTGCTCTGAGTTGTCGGGATGGTGGTGGTGGTGTCTGTTTGTGAATGTTGTGTAGTGGTTGGTTCGGTCGTGGTAGTTGTTGAGAGTGTTGGTGTTGTGAGTGTGATTGTGGTTGTCGACTGGTCTGTTTGAGCGTGTGTGGTTGTGGCGAGTGTTGGTGTTGTTGCGGTTGTGATTGTGTTTTCCACAGTGGGTGTTTGTGATGGTGTTGTGATGATGGTTGTTGACGTGGTCGGTGTTTGTGTAGTTGTGGACGATGCTGGTGATGTGGTCAGGCTTGTGGTGGTCATCGTCGTGGGTGTTTGAGTAGGGGTTGTAGATTCAGTCATGATGTGTGTTGTTGTGGGCGTTTCGGTGTGCGTGGATAGGGTAGTCTGTGTGGTTGTTACTGTGGTGGGTGTCTGTGTTTCGGACTGTGTTGTAGGTGTTGTTTGCAGCGATGTGGTTTGTTCGAGTGTGGTGGTGTGCATGACGCTGGTTGTTGTTGCGGGTGTTGTGATGAGTGTGGTTGTCGATTCGGTTGTTGGTGATGTTGTTGTTGTTGGTGGTGCTGTTGTGCTCTGAGTTGTCGGGATGGTGGTGGTGGTGTCTGTTTGTGAATGTTGTGTAGTGGTTGGTTCGGTCGTGGTAGTTGTTGAGAGTGTTGGTGTTGTGAGTGTGATTGTGGTTGTCGACTGGTCTGTTTGAGCGTGTGTGGTTGTGGCGAGTGTTGGTGTTGTTGCGGTTGTGATTGTGTTTTCCACAGTGGGTGTTTGTGATGGTGTTGTGATGATGGTTGTTGACGTGGTCGGTGTTTGTGTAGTTGTGGACGATGTTGGTGATGTGGTCAGGCTTGTGGTGGTCATCGTCGTGGGTGTTTGAGTAGGGGTTGTAGATTCAGTCATGATGTGTGTTGTTGTGGGCGTTTCGGTGTGCGTGGATAGGGTAGTCTGTGTGGTTGTTACTGTGGTGGGTGTCTGTGTTTCGGACTGTGTTGTAGGTGTTGTTTGCAGCGATGTGGTTTGTTCGAGTGTGGTGGTGTGCATGACGCTGGTTGTTGTTGCGGGTGTTGTGATGAGTGTGGTTGTCGATTCGGTTGTTGGTGATGTTGTTGTTGTTGGTGGTGCTGTTGTGCTCTGAGTTGTCGGGATGGTGGTGGTGGTGTCTGTTTGTGAATGTTGTGTAGTGGTTGGTTCGGTCGTGGTAGTTGTTGAGAGTGTTGGTGTTGTGAGTGTGATTGTGGTTGTCGACTGGTCTGTTTGAGCGTGTGTGGTTGTGGCGAGTGTTGGTGTTGTTGCGGTTGTGATTGTGTTTTCCACAGTGGGTGTTTGTGATGGTGTTGTGATGATGGTTGTTGACGTGGTCGGTGTTTGTGTAGTTGTGGACGATGTTGGTGATGTGGTCAGGCTTGTGGTGGTCATCGTCGTGGGTGTTTGAGTAGGGGTTGTAGATTCAGTCATGATGTGTGTTGTTGTGGGCGTTTCGGTGTGCGTGGATAGGGTAGTCTGTGTGGTTGTTACTGTGGTGGGTGTCTGTGTTTCGGACTGTGTTGTAGGTGTTGTTTGCAGCGATGTGGTTTGTTCGAGTGTGGTGGTGTGCATGACGCTGGTTGTTGTTGCGGGTGTTGTGATGAGTGTGGTTGTCGATTCATTTGTTTCGATTTTCGTCTGTTCTGTTTCAGTGTTTTCCGTAATCGTTATTATTTCTTGTTCTGATGTATATTCTTCCGTTGTTATTTCCGTTGTGTTTTCCGATATCTGCTGTTGTCTTTTCTGAATATTTTGGTTTTCTGAAATATAATATATTTTTTTTATTTTTAATTAGATTTTTCTTATTTTATTTTCTCTTATATTTATGCTTATTTTCGTTTCTTTACGTACCTATTTGTGGAAGGGATGTAATTTTTTAGATAGCACTCTTGATAACGTCATTAGTGATTTGTTTTTATTGTTTTTTTTATTCATTTTCTCTCACATGTTATTTAAGTTTTCATTGTATTAGGTGGCCTGCTTAAACATCTGGGCTACTTGTTTCCTGTCATCTATATATTTCAACAAGTTATCTAATATTGTTTGTTTTAATACATCATTATGGCTCTTAAGCACGGTGCGTTTCTTAAAACTGTACAACCTTTAACTGTAAAGGTTACAAAAGGCCTAATCAGAGATGTCGTGTTTGCTTGAAACATGCAGCAAAAAGTATATACAGTATTCATATGTCGATTGACTGAACTGCTGACATCCAACTGGTGATCACTGAATGTTTCTCATCAGGAGCAACGAAGAAATAAGAAACGTAAACATGTTGAAATACTTTATGCTGAGAATTCGATTTTGTACCAAACAATATAATATTGAATAAAGCTAATAATAATAATAATAATAATAATAATAATAATAATAATAATAATAATAATGTTTTATGTCATCGTAAGTTTTGTTATATGACATTTAACTACTTTTGTTTTCATAAGTAGTCAAATGGGTTTGTGTTAATTTTACTGTTTCACAGTATTTTGTTATGAATGTTTCATATATCCTTCTATCACTTAGATACTACTGAATAATTTGGAAAGTATGAATGTATACAAATTCAATAAGCACCTGTAAATTTCTTTGTTTTGTAGACATGTTATATCTCCCTATTTTTTTTCGTTTTGGTTCTTTTAAGTTAATGAATTTACTGTTTGATTCTTACGATTATCTTAATATTCATAATGTAATCAACTTCTTGAGTAATTCATATGAATTACGTATTGAAGTAATTCTTAGGCAATAATAATGTAGAATTCCTAATTTAATTAAAATTAGACCACTGTTGAAAACCTGTAGGCAGTTGACGGCTGTTTCGTCCTTATATGAGACTTCTCATTAGTGTGCATTCCCGATCCCGCATCGAGCGAATCGAAACTAAGACCTATCAGTCTCACGCGTGATCCCCTAACCTCTAAAAAACACTGAGCCGGTTGTCATTCAACGGTGTAATGTCCAAATTTAAACAATGCCTAAAATTGCTCCACCGTCCAACATTATCTTGAGACATGGTTGAACTCCACCGGTCATGGCTTCTCATTAGAAATTCAGGAAATACATCTTGAAGCCAATCACTAGTGAACACATGATGATTAATATCAGAAATTAATTTTTGTGGAGAATGTAATAATCTAATAGTTGAATGGGCACTTCTTAGGATTAACTTACTAGGATAAAACAGTCATATATTGTTTCAACTTTTCCATGATGGTCCAGCTTTATTCAACTCATGAATGCAACTATTAATTAACGTTTTTCAAAATCTCAATGATTGAATTTTAAGTTAACTTCACTTTTCTTTTGTCAATTTAGTTTAAGGATTTTAAAGAGTAAATAATTATATAATCAAACATTATATTATCAAAAAAGTCATTACTCATAGGGATATTATGGTATGTGCTACTGATATCAACAGATATAAGTAGTATGTAACATCCGTAGAAAGTAAAATACTTGATAGCAGAAAGTTGAAAAGATCAAAGGAAACAAAACGAGAACAAAAAACCGATTGGTATGGAATTAAAAGAACAATGAATTGTAGGATGATTGATGATTAACATTTTACAGAAGGGGAATAGTCAATGAATTGACATTCTACGATTGAAGTATTAACTGTATAGTTCGATTATTTTGTATTGACATGCAGTCAATTGTCTCAATTTGTTGTGCCATCAGTCAGATACAACATATGATCAGGTACATAAAGGTTCAAGTTGCCATATATCGTAAGCACAACAAGATGAACACCGGATTCATAGAAGTAGTTCACTTAGTGGTGGCAATATATAAAAGAAAGGTTGTACATAAGGATATGGTATAGGAAGAAAGACAGATATGAGGCAATTTTAATCTCAAGGTTTAGAGGGAAAGATAAAGAGTGTATACATTGTGATCGATTCTGAGCCATGTCACTCAAAGTCTCTAATCATTGGTTACGATAGTCGCACGGACTCCAACCGAACAGATTACATCTACTAACATGGTCAAGGCCAGAAGTTTGTGCACGCAGTGTTGAGCCACCTAGACTGGTGGCCATATTGCAACTTGATCGATAGCAATCGATCAGCACTAAGAAAAACTTGACACGCATGACATTGATCACCACCCAGTGATCAATCAATTGTGATACTTACCGCCTATCTCCAACATTTGTCAGTATTACGCTCCGTGGTAAATATGATTACAATGCTGAAGAAAATCCTTTAAGTGAGACTATAATTTAAGGACGACCTTTGAGTGATGTTATAGTGACCTTAAGAATGTACACCTAATTGCTAACGTTAAATAGGAGTTATAGACCTCTGTAAAGAATAAGGACTATGATTGACAGTTGATAGTTCGAGTTACAAATTAGATTTAAGCCTTTCATTACGAATTAACATCAGCTGAAATCCCAACATACTCTTTAACCAAATGAATGAATGAATGAACTAAAGTGCCAAAAAATGCAAAACCTGTTATCCTAAATCTAATTGGTTCGTCCAAAAATATACATTTCAATCCACTTAGTATTGTTTTGGTTGAATCTTTCGATTGACGTCTAAGACTGCATTTGATCAGTCTCTTATTGGCTATATGTGCACACTGTGCTTATTGCCTCGATATTGCCTTAATTCACAAGCATTATAAGTAAAGATGGATAGTGGCTAGGATTGGAATCTAGGACACGCGTTTTGTCCTATTTGAGAGTTGTCAATTGGATGTACCTGCATCTCAGAATTGATGTTCACCTTGGGACTTGAACTCAGTACCTTTCGCTTCAAACGCCATCGCGTTGTCCACTCAGCTGCTGAGTTCTTATAGCCACTTGCCTGTACAATGGGGTGCAGGTATATTCTGCTGACGAGTCTCAAATAGGACGAAATGCACGTCATGGATTCCACTACTAGCTACTATCCATCTTTGTATATATTTAAATCATTGAACATTCAGAAGAAAAATATCCGTTAAATCAATTGACAATGACTCAAACACAATGGAATATAAACTTAAGTCAAAAAAAGAAGAAAAAATATCCCACTAGTTGATCATTAATATGGATGAAAATTTTCAAATTGTTATTCATTATCAGAAGGTGTTTTGTGGCGATTTTAGTAATTTCATTGTTAAAAGCATGATTAATTGGTGAACGGTTGCTAAACATCGTGGATTGATTAAAGTCATACATCAATACCATAGAAACCGGCTCAATGATCTATCGGTTAAGTGCTCTGTCGCGAGACTGGGTTTGAATCTCACAAGGCGAGATCGTGGTTGCATACTGCTGAGGAGTCCAACAATGAAACGGCCGTCCAAGGCCTCCAGGTTTTCTATGGTGGTCTAGCTTCAATTGACTCATGCTTTCAACAATGAAAATGTTTCATTATTATTTCATTTCAGTAGTATAATACAGTTTTATTAAAATATATTTTATATTACTATAAAATTTTGTTAAACAGTCAGTGATATAAATAAGTAGGGGGGTTTATACAATTTAAAAAAAACCCAATTGTAATTAGATTATTAATTGATTATAAGTTACTATGTGTATGATCTGATTTATGAGGGGAGTGGGGGAAATTGGATGGCAACTAATTTTAAATCAATACATCATTGAACAATACAGTTAATCAAGTTTAGGCTAGTAATCAAGTAATTTCCTATGATTTCCTGTTGAACAATCTTATATGAGGATGAAATGGCCATTCAGTGCTTTTAGATTATCAATAATGGTCTAATTTAGATAACCTTATGAACTAGAGCTATGAACTACATGTGGAGAACTTCGAACAATTAACTTCCACCTGACGTTTGTGCTGATGATGTCGTTCGGGAGAATGATAAAAGCTGCACGACTAAACCATTCAGCTCAGAGAACAAAACTGTATTATAATCATCTAAGTGAGCTACAAATCTTCTCCACTATCTTAAAATAGAAACTAATTTATATTACTAATATCATGATTGGCAAATTAAGAGCAGTATATTTACAACTGAAGAACATCTGGAAATCAAAACAATTGTCAAAGAACACCACAGTCAGAATTTTCAATACGAATGCCAAGACAGATCTACTGTATGGGGCGGAAACCTGGAGATCCACGAAAGACAATATCTAGAAGATACAAGTGTTTATTAACAGTTGTCTAAGCAAGATACTTCCGATCCGTTCGTCGAACACTATCAACAACAACCTATTATGGGAGAGAATAAGTGAGATTTCAGTGAAGGAAGAAATTAAGAAGAAGTGCTTTAAGTGGATAGGAAACACATCGAGGTAAGCAGCCAAATGAGTCATAAGACAATCTTTCACATAGAATCCTGAAGGCCAAATGAGAAGAGGGAGACCAAAGAACACATTACACCGAGAAATGGTGACAGACATGAGATGAATGAACAAAAGTTGGATAGAACTAGAAAGGAGGCCTCATGAAAGAGTGAATTAGAGAATGCTGATCTGCAGCCTATGCTTCTTTGGAAGTAACAGGCGTAAGTAAGTAAGTAATTAAGTAGTATCAAGATTGATTTCAAATCCTTTTGAATTTCATTAAAGAAAAAAAACAACTGATATTTGTGAAGTTAATGCAATTTAGATAATAAAAATAACCATCGAAAATTCAATATCTGTCTCTATTTATGTATGTAACCATTACTTAACCGTACATATTCATTACTAACCAATCAATTAAACCATTTGTTTGAATTATCGGAAAGGGGTTTTGTGGAGTTTTTTTTTTTAGTAATTCTATATGACTGATATCATGGGTCAGTTGAAGCTAGACCACCATGAAAAAAAAACTATGGAAGCACTGGACAGCTGTTTCATCTTATTGTGAGACTCCTCAACAGAACGAAACGGCTGTCTAGTGCTTCTATGATTTTTCTATGGTGGTCTAACTTCAATTGACTTATGATCTTAACTATATATTAAATTGAATTATTGAATAAATTAACTTACCTAAATCACTGACAGCACGTTTTTCAAATTGTTGTTCTTTATAAATAAGATTATTATCATCACCATTATCATTATTATTAATTTTAATATAATCAAAAAATTTTATTGACCAATCATTTCTTTGATTAAAGAAATTTACTGATGATGATGATCCAGCCGCTGACGCTGACGATGATGATGATGACGACGACGACGATGATGATGATGATGATACTGATGCAGCTGCTGCAGTTAATGATGATGTTGATGTTGAATGTAAGAATGTTAAAGATGAGTATGATTGATATTCCAATGATACAATAAGGATATAAGTAGTATATAATATAATAGCTTTTATTATAATATTTTTTATGAGTAGTATTGAATTATTGAAATAAATCATACTCATGATTGAATATGTTAATGATGTTGTTTCTACTTGACTTTTTCTTCTTTAAAAAATCTAAATAAGAGAGAAAAGTAAAATGAATGAATTAGCATAGTAAACAACATGATAGCGGTTCTTGAGTGAAAGACTGTCTTTTGGGCTATATGGATCCTATGCGAACTGGCCTCGATATTGACTTAAGTCACAAGCTTTAGAAGTAGCAGTGGAATCTAGGATGCACACTGATTTATTTTATTTGGGACTTGTTAACTGGATGTATCTGTATCGCTGAATTGATGTTCAGTCAAAGACTTGAACCTAGTACCGTTCACTTCAAATGCCATCACCTTATCTACTTAGTTACTGATCACAATTGATTGATCACTGGGTGGTGATCAATGTCATGCGTGTCAAGTACTTCTTAGTACTGATTGAATGCTATCGATCAAGTTGCAATGTGGCCACTAGTCTAGGTGGCTCGACACTGCGTTCACTATGTTGAGATAAGATGGTGGTTGGAGGTGGTCAACAGGAAACCCTGAACCCGGGTTTCGTGCTACTTGGCACTCGTCAGCAAGGTGTAGCTGTAATCTTGAGGGAACTGGTGCTCTTTGAAGGATTCGACATCGGACATTGTGGATTGTATCATGAATTCAATTGTTCCTTTTCGAACAAAATCCAAGTGTTATGTATTGATAAATTCATTAATAAGATTCCTGAATATGAGTCAACTTCTAAGTGTGTCATCTAATGATACTCATCAAGCTGAATGAAATTGAATAGGACTCGAATATGGGACTAAGTGGTTGAAGGGTGAATGCTTTGTGTTGATTATCATAAACTTGAATTATTAAAGTTAATATAGTTGATATATTGAAATAAGAAGAAGGAAAGTGGAAAGCACTTGAGATTTCACAGTTAGCATTAATACCCTAAAAATGCCCGATACACGTTGTTGTTGAGTAGGGAATTGCCAGTAAACTAGACTTTAAAGAATTTTCTTGCTGATTACCTTCAATAACACGGTAATCACCAACCTACTCATAATTGATGGAGAAACTCTGGAAGAGGTGGAAAGTTTCATGTATCTGGGGAGAAACATCAATGAACAAGGACGATCTGATGTACACGTAAAGTCGAGGATTATCAAAGTAAGGGCTGCGTTCTTACAGTTGAAGAACATATGGAACTCAAAACAACTGTCAATCAATATCAAAGTCACAAACTTCAATACTAACATCAAGACAATTCTACTCTGCAGAGTTGAAACTTGGAGAACTACTACAGCTATCATCAAAATGTTACAAGTATTTATAAACAGTTGTCTAAGCAAAATACTCAATGTCTGTTGGTCGGATACCATCAGCATTAGCCAACTATGTGAGATGACAAACTAGTTGCCATCTGAAGAGGAAACTAGGAAAAGATGTTGGAGATGGATAGGATACACATCAAGAAAATCACCAATCTGGATTACCAGGAAAGTGCTAACATGGTATCGTGAAGGGAAACGAACGAGCGTAAGGACAAAGGACACTCTTTGTCGTGAATTGGAAGCAGATACGAAAAAAAAGATGAATATCAACTGGAAACAATTCGAAAGATTATAACAGGACAAAGTTGGATGAAGAGTGCTGGTTGGCGGCCTACGCTTCTCGATGAGGGATTATAGTAGTAAGTAAGTAAGTAAGTAAGTGAGTAGTATGTAGAAATAATTAGTTCAACCTTTTTTTTTTGGAAACGTTTCCCAAAAGAAGATAATGATCTAAAAAAACACTTTTAATTTACTTATTATTTTACATCTTTATCAAATATGAACTACTTAGAAGGACATAATGAGTAGTAAGTGTTGTTGAAATGAAATAAAGTTCACTTAATGAGAAACTTAACTAATCTATTCATTAATTATAATTGATCATATGTTATCATTGAAAATGCACTTGAAATAAATGGAGACTGTTAAATTTCCCATAATTTACACAATGAAGGGATTTAGAATTTAGACATTTATATATTAGATTTAATGTTATGAGATTGATTATCTATGATGAAGTTGTGGATATGCATTCGTTTGATGTAAAGACCAATGTCAGGTAAGGTTGCTTACTCTCACTCTTTCTCATTCTCCTGGTGATCGAGTGGAGTATGAAGTACGGGATGCAATCGACAGCTAAGATGAAACTGTACGATTTAGACTTCGTAGATCAACTGGCTCTTTTATCGCACACATAACAACAAATGCAGGAGAAAACGACCAGTGTAACAGCAGCCCTAGTAGCAGTAAGTTTCAATATAAACAAAGGCAAAAGCAAGATTCTCCGATGCAACACAACATGCACCAATCGAATCACACTTGATGTAGCAACGTCATCGATGAACACCGTGAATCTAATGCAGATGTGAAGGCGCGGATTAGCAAAACAAGAGTGGCATAATAAAAACTGTAGAACATCTGGAACTTAAAACAATTGTCAACTAACATCAAGATCAGAATTTTCAGTGCAAATGTCAAAACAGTTCAACTGAATGGGGCGGAAACCTGGGTAACTACGAAAGCCATCATCCAGAAGATACAGGTGTTTATTAACGGTTGTCTACGCAAGAAACTTATGATGGCGTTGGCCAGACATTATCAGCAACTACCTACTGTAGGAGAGAACAAACCTGATTTCAGTGGAGGAAAAAATCAGGAAGAAACTTTAGAATTTTATAGGACATACATTGACGAAAGCACCTAACTGCGTCACACGACAAACCCTCACATGGAATCCTGAAGGCAAAAAGAAGAAGAGGAAGACTAAAGAACACATTACGTCGAGAAATGGAAATAGACATGATGAAAATGAACAACAACTGGATAGAAATAGAAAGAAAATCCCATGACAGAGTAGGTTGGAGAATAATAGTCGGCTGCCAATTCTCTATTGGGAATTACAGGCGTAAGTAAGTGAATATGTTAGTATGATTAAGTGTATCACTATACAGTTCATAGTGATTTTCAATGAATTTGAATACATTTCAATTGATGAATCGAAAATGAGACGAAATATTTGTCTAGAATACCATGGCTACGTATTATCTGAACCAATAATAACTCTTCCATGATGATAAATTAACATAACTAGCTAAGTGATATTGAAGGCTATTTGTAATGCTTTTTTGACTTAATGTCATGTATATATGAGCCTTAAGAGATAAATGAACTCTCACTGAAGCCATGACAATGATCAGCTGATAAACCTTAACAGATATGAATAATCAAGATTAACTGATGAACTGCAACAATCTGTAAGTCATTGAGTTGCTTCATCGTTTCTTCTTTTTTGGTACTCAGGATCTCACACGAGATACTTAACGTAACAATATCATGAATAATAATTGTGTGTACAATGATGATCGAATTTTTGAGATTGATTGCTGACAGTTATTGTAAACAATTTGTGAACAATCAAGCTCTCCTTACTGAAAGGCAAAGAGATAGTCATCACCATTGATGTTATACTCAACTCAGTGATCTAAGAACTAGGAATGTTGAGTACAATTCAATGTTTGACCTTTTGCTAATATACTAATCAAAGGCTCTCAACTAAGACGGAACAGATTTCCTTTATACTCTTTAGTGAATAGATATTTTCTAAGTAATTCTACTTCTTCAAAAAACAATTTATTCGATGTTTGCTTTCTATATCTGTATGTATACAATGTGTTTTTTATACAGTTTCTATGACTACTCAGTCAGTTAGCTACAACTTAAGACCAATCACGTATATGCATCGGTCCAAGTTGCTAGACCTCGTTAGCACAATAAGATGAAGTAGTTAATTTATTGGTGGTAATGTATAAAAGAAAGATTGTATATAAGGATATAGTATAGGAAGGAAGAAGGTTATGAAGTAATCTGAATCTCAAGGTTTAAGAGAAGATAAAGAGTGTATACACCTACAGCATTGTGATCGATTCTGAGCCATGTCCTACAGAGTCTCCAATCATTCGTTATGATAGTCACGCGGACCCCAACCAAGTACTCTGCATTTACCAACATGGCTCACACCAGAAGTTAGTGATTTCAAGAACTGATGTCACGTTTTGGCTTGGACACCTCTAACTTTCTTCCAACCATCTTCAATACTACTTAGCATAGCCCGTCAGGATAATCGATGTTGAGGCATACGTAACACGTGACCCAACCATCTCAAACGATGAAGATTCATGACCTCATCAACTGATTTACCATAATTCCCTAATACCCTGTGTCTATCTCATAATTTTAATGGAGTTCTGTTCTTTGACCTGGACCTTGAGGTCTACAGGACAAGCTATGAGTCATATGTGGAGAAATTCCAGCAGTTTACTCCTACTTGAAGTTTGTGCTGATGATGTTGTTCAGAAGAACGATAAAAACTTCATAATCAAACCATTCAGATCAGGGAACAAAATTACATAATAAAAAAGAGAATTCGATATGTACCAAAAAGCGCCTGTCAAACATGACATTGACCATCACCCAGTGATCAGTCCATTGTAAATACATCTCAGTCTTACAGGAGGTCACTCGCGGCTCAAATAGCTCAGTGATAACTTCCCTGATTATGAAGCTGGGTAATACGGGATCGAATCACTCAGAGAGCATCAATTCCACTAAAGAAAACAGGCACACCTTACTGATCGATGTCCTGTTGACTACCTCCAATCACCATCTTATTCCAAAGAGGTTAAGTTTTTGGAAGGAGGCTATAAATAACTACATTATGTAAATTTGCATACTAATCATATCGTTATAATTAATAGTAAATTATAACACAATGTATATAATTATCAGAAGAGGTTTTGTGGATATTGTAATAATTTTGATAGTTGAGATCATGAATCAATTGAATGTGGACCACAATAAAAAACATGGAAGCACTGGACGGCCGCTTCGTTTCAGAATTACAATAACATCCACAAAACCCCTTCTGATTATAATCAACATATGCTCACTAGTGACCAGCTCCATGAGGAATTTCCTGGAGTTCTAGTGA